GTAATTATTGAAGCCACCATTTGTTTTTGAGTCTATTTTTTATTAAAATCTCTATCTATGATAAAGAATAATACATTTTGCCTAGAAATCAAACTCTATCGAACAAATAATTCGAAAATTAAAAATATGCTCTTTAAAAAAAATAAACTTTCATGAATAAAAACTAATTTTAGTAGATACAAAAATCACACCGATAATCTTTGGTATCGTCGTCATCTCCAGAGCATTCGGACTGTGCCCAAAAACCGCATGAAGTGCAGCGGAACCAAAGTCCTACGTTATCTTTCCCAACGTCATTGCAGGTGACAGTGGTGACACACCGCGACTTCAGTCAGCAGTAAGGTCATCACATTTATCATCTCATGGCCTGGGTGAAAGTTTCTACATAAATAAACAAAATAAAAAAACAATGGTTTTAAACAAAAAAAAACTATGTGGTTTTTAAAGCCTGACACATTGACATAATTTGAACATCTTTGGGATTTTCCTTATGTTCTAATATTTTGTTTACGACTGGACTTTCATCAGCAATTTGTTGGTCGTTTACAGTTAGATTAGATTCATATTATTTTTTATGGATTTTTTTATTTATAATTTTTCCAGAAATTTTAACCAACCTCGCAATCAACACAAATTATTATCTTCGACAATTAAATTTATCATTATAAGCGCGGCTAATTCAATCGCTTGTTAAACCATTGTTAGTTAATAATAATAATAATAATAATAATAACGTTTATTATGCATCAATAGAAATTACATAAAAGGTAACATTCACGTAATGTGTTCTTCCATGCTACCCGAAAAAGTAAATAAATAAATAATAAATAAGGAACTCAATGCCTATTCTAAGCTACGCTATTAATTCCAGCAGAGAAGCCTTGTACTTCTTTTTAAATTTTACCAGTGAACCAGAAATCATAAATTCATACACCTCTGTATTAAGTAGTTGTACCGCTCGGTAGGAAAATGAGCTTTTAAAACCTTCGGTTATATGCCATGGTATTTGAAATCGTATGATGTTTCTCAGCGACTGTGTAGGTCTTGTCTTACTATAAGATATTCTGAGAGATAGGACGGGCAAGCAGACTGAAAAATTTTATAAACGAATCGACCAAAGTGTAAGGCTGCTCGCTGTTCATATTTTAGTATCTTATTCTCTACATAGGTTGGCGTAATATGGTCAAATTTTCTAATACTAAAAATAAATCTCATACAAGCATTTTGAGCTAACTGAATTTTGTTTTTAAATTCAACATTCAGATAGTTATAGAAGACAACATTGCAATAGTCTAACTGTGACCAAATAAGAGTCTCCACTAACATCAATTTAATATTGCGAGGTAAATTATCCTTAAAGGGGTACAAACTCTTAAGTACAGCATAAACACATGACAATTTTTTGTTGACGTGCACCTGAAAGTTAAGATTTTCATCGAAAGTCACACCCAGATTCCTTGCTGATTCTGAGCTAGGTAGAGTAGTACCGTTTATGTGCAGTGTAGTGAAATTAAAACGTAAAAATTGACTTCTGACGGCATTAGAGCCCATAATCATATATGTGCTCTTACTAGCATTTAGAACCAACCCATGTTGACTTGACCATATAAATATCGAGTCTAAGTCGTCATTTATTCTCTGCATACACACACAGGCATCCTGAGGAGCAAAACCTAACAGGAGCAAAACCTAACAGGAGCTGCGTGTCATCGGCATAGAGATTGATGGAGCAAAACCGAACCTGCTTTGGAAGATCGCTAGTGTAAATGCTAAATAATAATGGCCCAAGTACACTTCCTTGGGGGACTCCATAACCAGTTGTAGCAGGCTCAGATCTTGCTTCATCAAGCTCAACCACCTGTGTTCTTAGTAGAAGGTAGTTTTTAAACCATTTGCAGACAGCTTCCGAAAAACCATAGAACCTCATTAACAAACCTACCTTAGAATGTGTTTATGTCAATATGACATTATTATTGTATAGCACATTCTAATGTTATTGTTTATTAACAAAAAGTTATCAAATAATTATTGATCTAGCGGCCCTAAAAAAATGGCCCCATAATTCGATTACCTAATGATTAGGTAAAACCTTGCATTTCGTAAGATGATTGTTATTACTTTTTAACATAATATAACATCCATACCATACTAGTCCATGGCATTGGTACATTTCACTTTGCATGAAATGAGGTAAGTATTTCTGATTTTTTGATATGTTGTATCTGATGAAGTGGTAATGACAAATCCGAGTTTTCGATGTCGAAAGCCCTCCGGATCATTGTTAAATATTACTAAAACTGCTAAATTTTCACCCTTTTATAATAATAAAAAGGACTAATTTTTCAACAAACGACACTAATTTGATTTTTTTAGACCTAATAGTTCTTGAGGTACAGCTGTTTAACATTGATGAGGTCAGTAAATGAATATTTTGAAGAGGGTTTGTAAAATAAACTAAGACTGTTAACGAAATAAGCATTATAAATTATTTAAAAAACCATTGTTAAAATTATTATTTGATTTTCTTTTTTGTAATATGAAATACTTAATTGTATACAGGGTATTCGTTTTTGGAGGGAAACCGTTGGGATATAGGAAACGGTAAGAGATACATATGCGGTTAAATTAACGCAAAGTTGCGCAATATCTTGCCTAACTAAACGCCACATCGAAATTTGGGATGTTCCGAATATTTTCGGATTTAGTGAAAATAGTGGACTGGAAAGAGATAGGGTAGATGGTCGTGCATTCGACGCATTATTTTTCATAAATTTTTTTTTTTTATCAATGGCCAAATGTGTTACTGCTTTAAGCGTATCAAAAAGCTCCGAATACAATTTCAAAAAAATGCAAACTGTACTTAAAAAAATAAAGTTGCTGATGATCGGCCAAAGACGAAACGTCGAATTTCAGATTTGGCTACACCATTGTCTAGAGGGGAGAAAGTTGTCTCTAAGTGAAGTTTATTTCGAAATATTTTTCCAAAGGCGTCAAGGAAAAAATGAAAACGAAAACTGCATTTTTTTTTTTTTAAATTATGCAAAACTTCAAATTGCTGCATCTTAGAAACTGTTCCAACTACAAATACCAAATTGATCTCGTTTTTTTTTTTCAAACTTGTTGATTTTAGTTGTACAGTGTGGTCATTTTATCTTGATAACATTTTAAACTGTCATAATTTCTTTATTTTTGAAGTTATTTAAATAAATAAAAAAACATACTGTAGGGTTGCTTTCCAAGTTTTAGATAAGATGGACAAAAAACAAAAGACTAATATATTTTGACAGTTATGCGCACAAATAGTATTTTTTTAAATGGAACACCCAGTAATTTTGTAGTTTGTTTTATAATATGTTTCATTCTGATTGCAATATATACAATACAATACAATTGAATACAATTCAATTTATATTTACACGCAGAAATGTTTTATTTATTTTAACTGAAAATATTGATTACCTACTGAGATTACCTGCAAAGGTAAGTAGGAAGACAGAACTTCTCATTAGAATAAATTAAACATTTCTGCACGTAAATATGAAGTAAATTGTATTGTATTGTATATATTGCAATCAAAATTAAACATATTATCAAACAAAGTATAAATTTATCGGGTGTTCCATTTAAAGAAATGTTATTTGTGTGCATAACTGTCAAAATATATTAGTCTTTTGTTTTTTGTCCACCCTATCTAAAACTTGGAAAACAACCCTACAGTATGTTTTTTTATTTATTTAAATAACTTCAAAAATAGAGAAATTATGACAGTTTGAAATATTATCAAGATAAAATGACCACCCTGTACATAATAAGACTTTCGCCGTAATATTAGTCCTTGGCGGTCAAAATTGACAAAATGTGAAAAAAGGGTTAGAATTTAGCGGTTTTAGTGATATTTAACAATGATCCGGAGAGCTTTCGAGGTCGAAAACTCGGATTTCTCATAACCACTCCATCAGATACAACAGAAATACCTCATTTCATGCAAAGCAACACCCCCTTTTTAGTACGATTTCCATGAAGTATACCTACATAAAAAAAAAACCAAATCGGGTTTGCAGTCTACGCGGAGTGGTTTCTCGGTGACTCGATAATGGGGATTGTGCCTATTGGAAACTAAACAATAAAACGCGTTACATCTGTCCTTGGTAACGAGATTGCTATAGTCGCGATTTCGCTGGCATTGTTTCACATTTAATTAATATTTTCTTGGAAAATCTTTCTTTTTCTAACCCTAACAATTGGTTTCTATAGTCGATATTTATTTTGTTTTACAACTCAATGGAAGTTCCTGGTATTCCCGGAGACCCTCAGCGATGTCTTTCAATAATATATTCTGTGACACGATCATTATGGTTGTCGCTTTGGGAGTTGGGCCGCGGCTATTCAAGTTTTCCGTGACTTCTTAAATGCACGTTTTGAAAAAATCGGTCTACTTCATGGGTGTTGTCTCTCAGGGTAATTTTGAACCTATCTGTCGCTTTCGAAATTTGTATTTCTGTTGCAATAACTGTAACATTCCAACATATCAAATTTGTTTTTTTCTGGTATGAAGAGCTATTAAAGCACAAATTATTAAAGATGTATTTGTTCACAGACTTTTGACTCGATTGTTACCATAGAGTAATAAAATCCTTATGGATTAGTAATCCAAAAAATAGTCGAAAAAATCAATAAGGTGGGCTATTGTTTGGGTAAACAACACTTAGGGCAAAGTCTTAGGGGAAGGATCTCAAGGACGTGGGTGGAATAGGAACAAAAACCTTTGAAAAAATTGGTTTATTTTACACTCTTGGATAGGATAGTAGACTACTTGTTGCTCAGGGTTTACTGTTGAAACATTATTATTTTTGTTTTTAATCTGAAGGTACTGAACAGGGTAATTGATTAAACCAAAAAATAATTACATACATTCAAATTATGTAGTTTTTAATTGTTCAAAATTTTGAGGGCTCAAATTTCCAACAGTGAAAATTCCACACTAATATTTTCTATTTTAGGCTAAAACACGGGTAAAATTAAATTTTCTCGATCAAATAGCTAAATTTTGGGAATTGCAAGGATCATCTCTAAAAATTCCTATGGTAGAAAGAAGAGTTCTTGATTTATACACATTACATAGAGTAGTAAAACATGAAGGTGGTTTTGATGAAGTTACTAAACAAAGGAAATGGTCCAAAGTATCAATTCATTTGGGTTACCAAATCGGAAAGAATGTTGGAACAATTTTGAAGCAGCATTATGAAAGGTTAATATATCCTTTTGATGTTTTCAAAGAAGGAAAAAAGGTTCCTATTGTAAGTAACTTTTAATCTCCACGAATTTCTTAACTATAATGACAATTCGTTCTTAGACCATTGAAATCAACGACGAGGGGCATGAAATAACTACTGATAAAGACTATAAACCGCATGGCATTGTTAATCGCATGGCTGTGAAGCCCCCATCAGATAAAAATGCTAGACGATCTAAAAGATTTGAGACCACTGAAAATGATAAGACTGAGGTAGGAATTAATATTTGGCTAATTGATTTTCTAAACTTTATTGATTTCAAAAATTGTTTACAGATAGAACTTAAAATCAAAGAAGAAAAATGTGAAGATGCTAAAAATAAGGATGATGATAAGGATGGTGGTAATGAGGATAAAAGTAAAGAACTAAAACGACTCCAGTTTCTTGGGCCTGGGCCCAAAATCGCTTTATATGATGAAAAAAAGGAATTTAAACCCAGAGCCAAACATATTAAGTACGATTTTGATCCTGTAAGTACAATCGTTTGCAGTTTATTGCAGGGTATCTTTTTTTGTGTGTAATTATCGAATATCTTTTTCGGTATTAGAAGTAGTTAGTAGTAGATACAAAAGTTGTTTGGTTTGAACATTCGATTTTCTTAAAAATAGTTTTTCAAATGGAACGCCCTGTATATTTTGGCAAAAGTCGTTTTTACGCTTAAAATTTAGGGTTAAATAGACAATGAACAGAACCTATTTTTGCTCAAAACTTTCAAATTCATAGGTTGATGTCTACCCTGCATTTGCCGATATCAGTTCAAATGTTTGTGGTAATTATTTTATTTCTGCCTGTAATACCTGGAAGGATACACTTTCGTATTTTGATCATGGGTGGGCAATGTCATGTATTTTTTTTTTAGTTAGCAAAATATATCTGCCGTAACTGTAACCGAGGAGACGCAGAAGAATACATGCTACTATGTGACGGTTGTGACGACAGTTATCACACATTTTGTCTGATGCCACCCTTAACTGAAATTCCTAAAGGTGATTGGAGGTGTCCCAAGTGTGTTGCAGAGGAAGTATCAAAACCTAGTGAAGCTTTTGGGTTTGAACAGGCCCAAAGGGAATATACCTTACAACAATTTGGAGACATGGCTGATAGTTTCAAGTCAGATTATTTCAATATGCCAGTTCATGTAAGTAGCTACAATTATTATGATTAATTGAAGGTCTTTCACATTCAAATTTTAGATGGTTCCAACTAGTACAGTTGAACGAGAATTCTGGCGCATTGTTTCTTCAATAGATGAGGATGTGACCGTAGAGTATGGAGCCGATTTACACACTATGGATCACGGTTCTGGTTTTCCTACAAAATCATCTGCAAATCTTTTCCAAGGGGATAAAGAGTATGCGGAATCGAGTTGGAATTTAAATAATCTACCTGTACTTGAAGGATCAGTTTTAGGATACATTAATGCTGATATATCAGGAATGAAGGTATTTAAAAAAAAATTATAATGACTAGAAATGCAGTAATATTTCATTTAGGTTCCATGGATGTATGTTGGTATGTGCTTTGCAACATTTTGCTGGCACAACGAAGATCACTGGTCCTATTCTATTAACTATCTTCATTGGGGTGAAGCTAAAACATGGTATGGAGTTCCAGGTAATAGGGCAGAAAAATTTGAAGAAACGATGAAGTCAGCAGCTCCTGAATTATTCCATTCTCAACCGGATTTATTGCATCAACTCGTCACTATTATGAATCCAAATATTCTTATGAATGCTGGTGTACCAGTTTACAGGACTGATCAGCATGCTGGAGAATTTGTTGTTACTTTTCCGAGGGCTTATCATGCAGGCTTCAACCAAGGGTGAGAACACTATATTTTTCAAGAATTAATATTCAGTGGTTTTAAATATTATTTATTACATATTTATAAATAATGTGTTATAGGTATAATTTTGCCGAAGCAGTAAACTTTGCTCCTGCGGACTGGTTAAGAATGGGTAGAGAATGCATTCTACATTATTCACACTTGAGGAGATTTTGTGTATTTGCCCACGACGAGCTTGTTTGTAAAATGGCACTGGATAATGATAAGCTGGATTTAACTATTGCCGCGGCCACTTATCAGGATATGCTTGTTATGGTGGACACTGAAAAGAAATTACGGAAAACGCTACTTGATTGGGTGAGCGGACTTAGTGTATTATTTTGAAATCTGGAACTTGTTCTAAAACTTCTAACACAAATAATGATTTAGTAAGCAAAAGAGTTAAAATGTAACAACTAAACTCTGCACAAAATATTTATTTTGTCGACATTTTTAAGTGCCACTTATTATTTTTAATTTTTTTTGCAATATCTGAATGCACAATAATTCTCCCTATAAACCAGTCTCAAAATAGATTCTTTCTGAGTTGCATCGCTATGGAAAAAATTGTTGGCAGTCATTTACAAAATGGTAATAAATATGTTTATTTTCAAAAAAAAAGATATATTTCACCTTCATTTATAGAACTGACTGTAAGCCATATCTTTGATATGTTTGGCCATTAGTTAACCATTCTTCTCAGATCCAATTTTTAATGTGTCGTCTATCCTATCAAAGTTTTTCTCTGATTTTCTTAGCATGAATTTTTCGTATGAATCCCAATGCGAGTCTTTTCTCATGTTCTCATTCCGTATGTATCAAGGTGCCTTGACAACCATTATCAGTTGAATGTCAAGCATTAACTTGCTTCCGGTAGGTCTTACCTGTGTGTCCCCACACAGTTGAACCATAGGCTGACGGTGGTCTAGCTATGGCTACCTTTGTTTTGATGTTCATCGTACCCTTCCAATTCATCAACGGATGGAGCCGACCTACTGCTGCTTTTGCCTTATTCCTGGCCGTTTCAATGTGGGATCTCCACAACAGCTCTGCATCCTCGGTTATTCATAGAAACTTGAGTTCCCTAACTTCCCTAGACCATGGTATATCTACTCCTGATATGTTAATATTGACCAGTGGAGTCAACCACATCTTCTGAAAATGATGGCTTGGCTCTTCTTTGGCTTGATCTTTATCTTCCAGGTGCACCATTCCGAAATCTGATGCATTTCTTCGTGCAGTTTTTCTCCAACTCGTTCTGTTCTTCTTTTTTCTGCGAAGATTGTGTACTCATCTGCGTACAATGCAGTCTTTATGTCCCGTGTCTTCAGAATGCCTTGCGTATACATGTTGTACAAGTAAGGTGTAAGCATCCTTACGATACCAGCTTCCCCTTATCTAGTTATTGAACAGTTTTTGCCAATCTTATAAATGTTCTACCTGTCAGGTTTTTCTGAACCAATTTGCAAGTCTTTGCATGAAGCCCCACTGAATCATCTTGTGATTCAGTCTATCATACCAGTCTCTGTCGATTGGCGTTGTATGTTTTTCAATGAAAGTGCTACAACCTTGCTTCACTAGACGAGCTAAGCCGTGAATAGAGATCAGATGAGTAAAAAATTGAAAATGAATAATTCGCATCATCTGTTTTTGTAGGTCAGTTTTGGATCACAATTCGGGTAGTAACATAATTACTCGCTCCTAGGATACCTTCTCTAAAATGTGATGAAAATTTCCTGAATTTCCTTATAAAACCTTGAAAACAAATTGGTAGATATTGGCATGTACGCGTCACCTTAGATTTGCTACGAAAGGAATTTTGAGAAATATAGGTACGAAATAAATAAATATGTTATTATTCGTGGGGATGAAGCCAGTTATTAAAAGAAAAAGGACTCTTTTATCTATTGTAAGCTTTCGCAATATTTTTTATTGCTTCGTCGGTCATAAGATCACGAGTACTTATTTAATATAGATTTCATTAAGATTGTATTACAGTGTAGAAAAATATAAACAGATTTTGAATTTTTTTTGATTAAACGTTGACGTGACGTTTAAAATCTGTCTACATTTTTCTACACTGCTATACAATCCTAATGAAACCTATATTAAATAAGTACTCATGATCTTATGACTGACGAAGCAATAAAAAATATTGCGAAAGCTTTCAATAGATAAAAGAGTTTTTTTTTCTTTTAGTAAATGGCTTCATCCCCACTAATAATAACATATTCATGTTAAGATTTAAGCCACAATAATACCTAATAAAAAAAAATATTTGTGCAAAGTGTAACATTTATTTCGATGGTACTACTTCCTCTATATTTTTATTTAATATTGCCTACTAGTAATATATTGGTCTTTTGTCTGCAGGGTGTCACAAATGCAGAACGTGAAGCATTTGAACTACTACCAGATGACGAAAGACAATGTGAAGTATGTAAAACAACATGTTTCTTATCTGCAGTGACCTGTTCTTGTACATCAAATACTCTTGTCTGTCTAAGACATTATAAAAATTTATGTGAATGTCCTTCAGCAAAAAGAACTTTAAGATATAGATATACTCTAGATGAATTGCCAATTATGTTAAAAGCTCTAAAACTCAAGGCTGAATCATTTGATCATTGGGTTGCAAAAGTAAAAGATGCCCTCGACCCAAACACTCCCAAGACCTTAAATTTGAATGATTTAAAAGCCCTTCTTAATGAAGCAGATGGAAAAAAATTCCCAAAATGTGAGCTTCTTCAAACTCTAACTAGTGCTGTTATTGATGCTGAAAAATGTGCTAGTGTCATCCATCAGTTAGATCTCAATAAAATGCGCACTAGAACTAGGCATTCTAATGAAGTCAAATATAAATTAACAGTTGAAGAGCTGACATTATTTTGTGATGAAATTAATAGCCTGGCCTGCGTTTTGGATGAAGCCAAAAGCATAAGAGTCTTACTTACCCAAACTCAACTATTTGAAGCAAAAAGTGAAGAGCTCCTCAGTCAATCTTTACAACAAAATTCCCTTGTAGAATTGGAAGAATGTCAAAATCATGGTAGTGGTTTGTGTATAGATCTTCCAAATCTTCAACTTATTGGTACAAGAATTAGACAGGTACAATTTATGAAAGAAGTAGATACTTACAGAAAAAAATCTGATGTCATGGAAGTTGATTTAATTAAAAATTTAATAGAACAGGGTTACTCTATTCCTCCTCATGTGGAAATGGAAAAAGAATTATCCAATCTTCAGTTAATAGTCCATCAAAGTCAAGAATGGGAACAGAAAGCACAAGAGTTTCTTAGATGTCAGGATCCGAATATACTTACGCAGGGTGAAAAGCTTCTTAAAGATGCATCAAATATTCCTTGCCATTTACCCACAGCGTCTATTGTTTCTGATGCGATTAAGAAAGGCAGAGAATGGACCAAACAATTAGAAGAAATTAACTCAGCTGAATATTACCCTTATTATAGTGCCATACAAGAATTGATAAGAAAAGGGCGCCAATTAGTTATTCATTTAGTAGAAGTTGACCGAATAAATGAATACCTTATTCTGGCTAATGCTTGGAAAGAGAAAACTTGCAGAGTTTTTCTCAGGAAAGATTCGCCTACAACTTTAATGGATGCTTTAGCACCTAGAACTGCTTCACTTACCAGTAAACCACCTAAAAAGGGCAAAGGCACTGAGGATGATTCAAAATCTATAGTTTTCACTCATACAATAGATCCAGCTACTGTTGTAGCATTATTTAAAGAAGCAGAAGAAAGTGAAATGTCTATGATAAGAAAATTGAGACAATTTAACCAACAGAAATCTCTAGAACCAAATGACCTTAGCTACAGTTATTGTGTCTGTGGACGAGGTGCTTTTGGTATTATGATGAGATGTGAACTGTGTCTGGATTGGTTCCACTCCACTTGCACTTATCTTCCAAAAATTGCCTTCACCAAATTTAAAGGCAATGTTCTTAATATTGCTATAAGCTTAGGGTTCAAAGATTGTAAATACATTTGTTGCAATTGCCAAAGATCCAAAAGACCTAGACTGGATACAATTCTTAGTTTACTAATGTCTCTTCAAAAACTGTATGTTAGGGTGCCTGAAGGCGAAGCTCTTCAATGCTTAACTGAAAGAGCAATGAACTGGCAAGATAGAGCCCGGCAGCTTCTGCTAACTCCTGAACTTGAAAGAGCCAAAATTAGATTAAATAATTTAAGTCAAAAGTTTACTGATGCTGCTGCGAAACAAAAAACTGAGAAGATCAATACTGACTCGAAAAGGGCTTCTAAAATTCCTGAGCCTCACCGAGTACTCGAAATCGCTTCATTTAGTGCAGTAAACGAAGAAGGTTTAGCCTGTGATAGTGGAATTAACGAATCTGATGATGCATCAAGAGAATCAACAAGAGATTCTGATGATAGAATGGGAGAACATGCATATAGTCTTCACCTTCCGAAAAACGAAGGTGAAGATTCTGTTGTACGGATCTCTCCAGAAGTAAGAAAGAAAATGGAAGACTTGCTTATGGAAGGTGATTTACTAGAAGTGTCTCTAGATGAAACTGTAGCCTTATGGAAATTAATGCTAAGCTCTAGAGATCACGATCGTGAAGTGATGCTTATCGACTTTGACGCACATCTCAAACCAAGTCCAAAAAAACGAGGGAGAAAGAGACTTTCTGAGGATCCCGTCGATCCTGCCAAAAAAACACCTAAAACTGCAAAAGCAGACGGAGAAAAGAAAGTTCGCGGTCGTAAGCAACAACCCTCCAATAAAGAAGGTCCAGTGAAAAAATTACGGGGTAAACGCAGAGGCCGACGTCGTCAGTCTACTGCTTCCAATAGTAGTGACAGTGAAGAAGAAGACTGTGCAGCTAATGGCTGCCAAAGACCATCAGGACAAAATGTGGATTGGGTTCAATGCGATGGTGGTTGTGAACAATGGTTTCACATGGCATGTGTTGGTTTATCAGTTGAAGAAATAAATGAAGATGAGGACTATATTTGTATGACTTGTTCTCGAAGTACTACTTTTGAGAATGTTGAGCCATGTGAAACTGTGTCTTGCAGTCCAGGATCGCCAGACTTATCACAACCTTCCACTTCGAAGGATGTTTCTTAGTGGTTAGAAATTATACTAATCGGTTAGTTAATATTTTAATAAGTAAATTTAAGTATCTAGCAATTCATAATTTCTTGACAGGATCGCCCACACAGCTGATTTCCAGGAATTCGAAGAGAAGACATCACTTGCTGTATGGGCTCACACCTATCCTGGCATTGTGGCGGATTTGGTATGCTGGCTTGTGTTGCATCTGACGAGAACAAACAAGTATATAGTAATGAAAGTGCCCAATGAAAAGAAGCTCGATTTTCTCTTCATTGTCTCACGAAGCACACACATGTATTGCATTGTCGAGAAGCGAACATACATCCTCATAGTATGAGGTAAATGTGGTGGATTGCACAATCAACTCCTGTATAGATAAAACTACAGTGACTAAATGAACCTTTACATACAGTGGCGACAATAGAGGTCCCGCCGCCATTTTGTGCCTTACCTCTTGCTACTTTTAAATATGAATATATATAATATATATATATTTCTGGTGGATGGCCATTTAAATCCTATATATTCATATTTAAAATTACCAAGAGGTAGGGCACAAAATGGCGGCGTTTTCCATATGAATATATAGGATTTTAAAGAACCAATCATAAATGAGACGGCAACACGCCACTGTGGTAATAGAGTTACTGTAGATAAAACCAACTAAGAAGAAGCCACTATGTGATCTTTTGTTTCACTTCAAATGGGAGGGCCCTAGAGAAAAGGAAATTTGCCTCATTCATCAGTGATGACGTCAGGGCTTCTTCTTAGTTGGTTCTAATTATACTATGAATTTTTCATATAGACAATATTCTGAGTCAATATTGTATTTGAATTCTTCTCATACAAAAAGACTCTTATTTGATAGATTGGAAATCTCCTCGGATTCATTGCTATACTATGTGCTTAATGATTATTCAAACTCTGGTCAAGAGAAACTAAGGCAACATCTGAGTAGATTTTTAAACATTTGAGTTGTAGGAGGGAGCCCGTTTTTGTCTCTAAATATATCGTTTGCTGCTCACTTCAAATAAGATGAACATCGTAAGACTATTACCACTGGAAGCAGAGCAGAGAAAAAGAAAAGGCTTCGCTGAAACAGTAAATCATTCAAATTGTAGATTTTTGAAATTGCTATTTCTTAGCGAGTTCGATCTCGAATATTGTGATTCAAAGGAAACATATTCAAAAATAGAGCAAAACCGAGTTTAACAGGGCATAATTAACAGACAGTAAAGGGCCCCACACACTACGTTCTGTCTCGTCAGTTTTCATCGTCGCGATTAACAACGTCATGCTTCATCGTCAGTGTGTTTTCACCACACACTACGCGATTTTTTGGCAGTTGGACCCACATACAACGGTTTTGGAACGAAATGTTGAACCGTCGTGCCAAAAATCAAGCTCGAGCTGAATTTTAAACCTATGATGAGACACGACGGTTTTCTACCACACACTTCGGTTTTAGATCGTCGTGTTTCATCGCGGCGATGAAAACCGACGAGAAAGAACGTAGTGTGTGGGGCCCTTGAGATACACTCTTCTGCTAGCAAAATGGCGACTATTCAGAAAATGTCGCTTTCATATACCAACCTTTCATTACACATTGAATGAATCAGAATTAAGACGTCAAATTTCATGATATGATGTTGAATTTTCATTTTTATTTGATGAGCTAACCTAAACTGACCGCTAACTTGTTCTGTCAGGTCCGAGCAGATCTTCTGAAATACTATTTTTATTCATCACCTTTTTCTTGTCTCGTCCATTCTGACAATATTTCATAATTAAATTTTCGGATTTTATTAATTAACTTACCTATACATTTTTTTTTTTAATAAGTGTTGCTTTACCATATTCCATATTTGATCCTCTATTTAAAGTTCTCGATATGGAATTATTTTTTCTTGGAGCTATCGTACAAGGGAATGTCCAGTCCAACTTTTTCAAAAGTATAAGATATTATTTAGATTTTTTTTTAAATTACTGAATATGGCACAGTAAATTTCTGCGGTAATTTAAAAAATACGGCATGCAATGTATGTAGGTAATATTCACATTTCAAAGTTTTCAAAATTTATTGAATGATGATAATCTCCAGATTGACTGCCTGACTTGGAAATAAGACTAGCATTCACTATAAAACCCGTTTCACATCAGGCAGCATGTAAAACTTTGTATCGAATTGCTTCACTAGATTATTTCTGAACAGTTTTTCTAAGGCCGGGGTTACCCAATTCCTTAATTCTTAATTTTTGTTCTTAATTCTCAATCTTTAAAAACACCAATGTTAAATAAATTGAACTTTTTAAGAATGAACACGTTCGCTGCCAAGTACGAGTTAACTCGTAGTAGACAATCTTATTACAGGTGCCAGCTACGAGATGACTCGTATTTTGCATCGTGTCGTTCAAAGTCAAATACGAGTATATTCGTTGTAAATAGAGGTTAATGGGGGTGCCTGGCCTACGGGATATGTATCAGAATATCACACAGACATAGTTGAACAAAAAACATTTTTTTTTTCAAACATGGTAGTCCTTGGTATGGTATGGTATTTTTTTGCAAAAATATGGGTCAGGTACTACTTTGGATGAACATTTTATGTTATTTAGACCTATTTCGATGATAAAATATAGTTTTTCAACATTGGCATTTTGGACCCGATCAACCGAAATCTGTCTGGCAGCGAACGTGTTAAGGACAAATATTAAGAATTAAGGAATTGGATAACTCAGGCCTAAGAGTCGTGCTGGCAACTTTTTCTGAATGACCCATTTCTGAAAATCCATGTTCCTCTAAAACTACATTCCTAATGAATAGGGTAATTTTCTTCTATATAAATCCCCTAAAAAAAAATTGCCCAGCGTTTTTTTTTAATGATAGATGTCTGTTTCATTAAATATTTTCTGTTAGGAATCGGGCATTTTCTCCATTCAAATCTTAATTTTTTAGTCTATCTTAATCATTTCCAAGAAGTATGGAGCATTCTTAGTTTTATATGTTCACCTGTTCAAAAATAATGGAGATATGAATCGGAACAATAGAGAAATATGCTTTCATAAATGAAATTCTTACTTGCTGCAGACATGGCATAAACTTGTGTTCTTATGCTATGATGGTGTACTTTGAAAAGAGGAGTTCCTCTTGTTGAAACAGGACCTGCATCAACTTTTGCTCTATAGTCTTAATCAGTTCTAATATCCTTAGAAGTGATTAGTTTTTTTTGACTGTGGCTCGAATAAATTTCTAATACACCTGCAATACGCTACAGCAATATTAAAAAACAAGAAAAGCATCATGACTTCATAGTTCATTGAAACTTTTTTAAAATTATAAATATTCAATACTTGTAATAATTATTAATGAAGGTTTGTTTTTGTTATGTGGAATGAAATAACTAGAAACATAGTTCAAAATTAGTTTTCCCTATGCAATTTTTTAGTACTATAAAATAAATACTTACATTGTACTTGTACACAGCTGGCAAAGGTAAAAGTGGATTATCAGCATCATTTACAAATTTTGAAATAGGAGCTTACTGTGTCCCACTAAATGGGTGGGACATTCCAATCTTAAAACGATTATTGTTGATTATTTTGCACCAAACACACAAACAAATCTGTTATCTCTTGAAACCGATCTATGTCAAATTTAATTTTACCTATATAGAACAAATTTAGGAAATCAGTTAATGGCATGATATAACGTAACATTGCGATTGATTTGGACAGACTTTACATAAGATGTAATGTGGATCGCCAAATATAAGATCAATGGGCTCAATAAAACAATATAAACCACATTAACATTTCTTTTTAGGCGGTTACACACGGACGTGGATGTCTGAAAACATGTACGCACATACATGAACGTACAAACAAAAACATCAATGTGTATGCAAAATACCGTCGCGTTTTTGAATGTGCAATTTTGTATGCACACTCGGAACTCTCTAGCAAGAATAGCAAGACTGCAGTTTTGTGCGAGCGTCTGTACAAAAGCGCCATGCACGTTCTTGGTTGCATGTTGATGTATGCACGTATATGTATTAAGACATCCACGTCCGTGTGTAACCGCCCTTTGTAAGTTTATTATTATTGTTATACAATTCAGCATAATTTTCTCTACATTTGCCCCAGAATAATCGCAATTGTAGGTAGAAACATACAACAAAAAAGGGTCTTATTGCATGATTCAAGAAATTTTATTCAATTATGACGGCAATATCCACTAAATAAGAATGCCTCTAAAGGGGTGTTATTTTGTTTCTTCAGTTGTGATAAAGTAGTACATAGGTATTTTAAATAATTGTAATATATTTTATATCATCCCTACATATACTGCTGTAGGATAAGTAGTTATTAAAGAAAATTTTAGTAATGTATGATATTGTAACAAAGTATTCTACTATTTATTTATATATACATATAGATATAGCAATTTTGTGAATAGTATAATTCAGAACTAGTATGTTTCCGAAGTTTATGTGTCTGTCATTTCAGTTTATATATAAGAGAATAGTTGATATCAAACAGGAGATTTATAAAAATTATTGAAATATTTCTTAGCATGATGTACATAGGTACAGGGTATTTGATTATATTTGGCACCATACCTACAGCCTTTACTATTTAAGATAGAAAAAAAAATTAAATACAAAACTTGACAGTTTTTTTTATCGCATAATATACAGGGTGTTCCATTTAAAAAAGCCGAAGTTGCCTACGTTTCTCCATTTTCCGATGCGATTTTGTTTTTTCTGATACTATTAAATGAAAATACAGAAAAAAACTGTCAAGTTTTGTATTTAATTTTTTTTTCTATCTTAAATAGTAAAGGCTGTAGGTATGGTGCCAAATATTATCAAATACCCTGTACATATTTATTAATAAATGTTCTTTGATATGACTGAATGTAAGTAACCTACCATATAAAGAACTAAATATGGTCCGATCAACAGATTACAATTGCCAATAACACTAATAATAAGTATAATAGTTTTCAGCTTTATATTATATGGTAGTATGTCCCAAAAAATATTCTCATAAGGGCCGGGTTTTGTATATGTGTCAACAAGATCGCTTTCACGCTGGCATTTATTTTTTTCCGGATCGAATGTTATTGTGGTAAGTATAGAAAATAGGTTTGGCAAATGTCACCTTTTGACGAATGTTGACTCACGTAAGTGTAGAAAAATCTGTGAAAAAAATGCAAATGCATTGATTTTACCTATCATTTGTCTACCAAATTATGCTTCCAAAGTTGGTATCACCGTATTTTATGCGATAGCTTTATAAATATATAAAACCACCCAAGTGTCACTTCTTAAATTGATAGCTTGTTTCGAAATAAAAGCCAACGATGCATTGAAACTTTCTAATAATTATATCCAGCTTTAATAAAGTTTCTTCAACAAATAAGAAAGAAAATATCGACAAACCCCGGTATTGAGAAGGCAAGAAGCTAGTAGAGCATTTCCAATTTTTTGTTTATAACTTGAGAGATAAAAAAACGTATGATAGGTATGAAATAAATAAATAAAAAATAGCGATAGCCAATGATCAAGTTCTCTATGTATAGTGATATAGTAAAAGCTTTCCAAGACCGTGAGATCTGGTGAAGGAGGTAGCCATGCAATTGATCTATTGATATTTACAAGGTCTAAAACGCCGCCTCAAGTAATTCATGACTATATAAACATTGTGGGGTGGGGCTTCATCTTGCTGCCAGTAAACGTTCCTGTATATTCCTAAAAGCAAACCTTCCAGGATCCTTCTATTTCATATTGTAGAAATCCCTAATATCTTTAGTTGACCACCCTTGAAAAAACATTGGCGCTACAATTCTCATTCGGAGTATTCAGGCCCAAACAGTTCTAATGCATCGGTGGCTTTATTTTGATATAGGTAGATAATCAATTATTTTAGACATGAACGCTCATTCTACTTTATCAAGTCAATCACTTGAAATACGTTAAGGGCCGATTTATTCACCTTGTGATAAACTGTCAGCTCGACCGTCAGGTATGCAATCTGACGGATAAAAACACAATCTGTAATCCCATTGGAACGGTGAATTTATCTTGCAGATTGTCCTAAATTTGACATTCTTCTATACAGAAATCAACCTTAACCTCCAAAAATAATATGTCGCCATTTAAATTTATGAAGCTGTAGTCACTTCCGACAAAACCGGAAGTGGCCAGACTTTGAGGCCAGACTTTGACTGGTGTTGCTTTTACACATCCGTTAAGAGATAACCTTTTGCAAAACCTATACCCTATACGGAAATTCAATTCAATCGGAAAAGAAATACAAAAATGTCAGCGCGAAAGCAGTCTTGTCGACACCGGGTATTACAGAGTGATTTCAAAATATGAAAATAAAAAGTCGTGTGAACAGTAATGCTGCAATATGTATAATATATTTTTGAAATTTACATTTTGTCGAGTACTTTTCATGATACTAGGTCATGAGGTTTGACTGTGCCAGTGAAGACGAAGAATATTATTTAAATATTATTTAAAAATTAGAGAAAAAAATCACTTCGCACTTCAAATGAATATTTAAAATAACCATAAAAATAAATGAATGGCAAAAATAGATATTGCTCCAACCACATATAATACACACACACATAGATAAAGCTGTTGTTGTTGGCAAGCTAAGGAAACCATGTGCTTGCAAAGAAATGAAATGTACTTTAATTTCAAAATGTAGATTCCATTCTTTTTCCAAATCCATTAATATGATTCTTGAATTGTATTGTATTTGTAATTAATGAGAAAGACATGTGATAGTGATATTATTGGATAATTCCGGCTCTGTCAATTTACCAGCTAATAATAATAATATTGCTTTATGGTCTTTCTCATTAAAATTTTAAATATAAACTAATTTTTTAATATTGTGAGTACAAAATTTTAATAATTTTTTTTGGAGTGATATAAAATTCATTATTATATTTTAAATATTGATATCTCCTTTTTACTATACATCTAGGTTAAATTGTAAATACATATTAATTATATATTCATTCTTTTTACATTAAAACTTAGAAGTTTAACATAAAATAAATATTTTTTATTTTTTTTTTCGGCCAAAGATGCATCAATAAGCTGCAATCGATTCTTTAAATTGAATGAGGTACCCAAATACTGCGTGTGCATCAGTGGAAATTGTAGACCAACGATAAGATACTTGGAATATTTTTACATTTTTGGGATCTCTAGGTCTTCTATTCTAGTTAAAAAATGTTCCTGGTGTAGATATTATCCTGACTTTTTTTACGTTGAAAAAATAATTGTTTTTCGCACTTTTTGTGGCTTGTGGCAATTTTTCGTCTTTAGCTGCTTGTGACATCCTTTGTGTACGAACACTAGTATTATAGTCGGTTTATACTTACAAAATTAAGAATTAAATTGAACTTAGAATTTTTTCTGCAAGCAAGGGATAAAATATAAAATGTTTTTTCATTTTTTTGTTTTAATAAAGATTGCAATGCACGCTAATAGCATAATTTTGGCATGGACATTATTCATTTTGTGCTAAATGCAAAGAAAATCTTATTTAAATAAATAATTAGAACAATACAAATATGTATCTGAGTTAGATAAAATTATAAAATACCCTATTGACGCATGTCCTGGACCGAACATGAATAAATGAATATGAACGTTGTACGAACTAGAACTATCTCCTCAATTCTCAATTGAATGTTGGCCAACTTACTACATTTCATATTGTAATGTAATCTTATTGACATTAGAACAATGATTTTTTTAGACCAGCGTGCTTTATTTGAACCGCATACAGAATATTCTATCGTAAATACACGACAGCAAACAGCCAAAAAGGATCAAGTTAATCAAATGTTAGTCGACTTCATGAAATATATCGAAGACAAAAAACAAGCTTCTTCAGTGCTGTTGGAGTCTCAAGATGTAAATCCAAAATACGCCACAGGCTTTGAGATGAAGCATAGTTTAGTCTGAAAAGGTTGGTGAGGACGAAAGACCTAGAAAAGCTAGAACTTCTTTAGGTTGCTTCTGGAGATTGCGAAGGAAATGCTGAAGATGGGAGTATAAAGAATGCTACAAGCTTTACATAAGAAAGCCCTTTTACAACACAGAAATGATGCTGCTGAAAGTGTAATAATTAATGAAATTTGCCTTGAAAACTCAGTAAGTATAGTAAGTGAAGTGGAAACTGTTAAATCCTTCACTATTTACCTTTAACATAATTTTACAAAGATGGCAAAGATGAAAGTACCTACAAATGATGACATTTGTCTTATAAACTCGGTGGATATAGAGAAAGGAGATAAAGAAAATGATGAAAGAGAGAGAAAAGAACATCTTCGCCACAAGATATAGAAAATCGCTCTTCACATAGTGACATTGGATTTGTAAGGCCAGTGTATTTGGTGAAGTATTTGGATTCGTCGCCAGTAACTGAAGATATAATTTCTCCTCCACAACTTAGGTACAGGAAATGAAAACCCTAAGAGTTCAAATAACGATTTGTACTATAAGCCCAGTGAATATGTAGAAATATGTGGAAAATTTAAAATCTATTTGAAAGCCACCGATAAATTGAAGAATGCTCTTCATTTCAACAATAATGATAATTATGAATGCTCAAACAAAGCTGCATACTTTGTAGACTTGGATAAGTTGGCTTCTGAAGTAAATTGTAATGATGTTAGTCCTCAAATTCCTCCAAGCACTGTGGAAAAAGATTTGAATCGTTCTATATGTTGTCGGCCTAAATTTTCGAAACAAGTCGAATATTTCCGTGAACCGTTAGTCGTAGACCACCTTTTTTAAAAACTCGTGGAGACCTTCAAATTTCATCTAAAGAGTTTTCCTCTCCGACTTGCCGTTTTTGAGCTATGACGGTTTGAAATTTCGACTTTCATCAAAATCACAGTACCTTAGGAAAGCATAGGACCAAAAAAATAATGTGAAATTTCCCGAATTTCTCTTTGACCACGGTATAAAGAGGATCCTGAAGACTCGCAAAACAATTTTTTTTTTAATTTTCCGATTATGTACCCATGCATTTTCACCATTTTGCGCCGATTCGACACAGCACAGCACAGCTCCACTAAACTGGCCACAAGTCGAGTGTCTTTGAACCTATTTCCTTGAAGCTTGTTTTCGATAAGGGATTAATAAATTGCCACCGTTTCAAGTCCTCAAAGGCTAGAGGAAGACAACCTCGATCACAAATTACCTATTCCTCATACATCGGGCTAATTCCACGAATTCGGAAAAACTGTAGACTAGTCAAAGACCCAATCAACAGCTTCGGAACAGGACCGAAAATCAGAGACGAACTAAGCAACCAAAACGGTCAATGAGTATTGTTATAACGTCCATCAAGGAATCTCTAGGAAGATGAAAGTAGTCAATGTCAGAGATAAAACAAAAAAAAATGGACCTGTATAAACGAAACAATGATAAAACTGAATGTATATTATGTTTTTAAGAAAAATAACAATTTTGGGAACATATGGAGTGAAGATTCTATCTACAACTCGGTGATCAAATCATAGAAGAAGGAAACTCAAGGGAAATAAATATTGCTAGGAGACTGCCTAGCAAAATTTTTGTCTAATTTCTAAAAACTAAAATTTTGTGCAAAAATAGTAAATACCATAAAAGAATTAAATCAAAATATTAATTTTTTCAGTTTTCTAAAATTTATTGTGAAGTTATCACACTCAAAAGAATCTACTAAATATCTGCACATAGTATCTAAAAATAAATTGAGGTACACTAAAGCAAAACATTTTTCAGTTTTAAAAAATGATTGTTAAGGTTGTCACAAGCAAGTAGCGTACTAAATATCTGTACATAATCTTCATAATCATGACTCCGAAGATGTTTTAGTATTTGGGAAGTTTTGTATCCAGGAATAATAATTTCATACTTGGTGTTTCATCAAATTTTTCCCATCGAAAGAACTTAATCTTTTTCCTTTTTTTTTTGTGTAAATAAATATTGCTTTTCAACATAACAAAATACCTAGTTGATAATCATTGTTCTATTATTGTGAATAAATACTTTTGCAGTAAATACATGTTTTTTGTTTTATGCAAGTCGAGATGCAGAACATTAATTAGTTTCCTTTGTGAGAATAAAACATAATTAGTGTAATTTTTAAGTATCTTATGGTTCTATCATAGCATTTTATATCCAAATCAAATTACATACAGGGTCTCCCTTTTACTCCCACTAAAACAATAGTCTTTTTCCAAGATTTTGACAAGCTGAGACCTTTAAAAAGAGGTATGTGACACGACCCCTATCCCTTATTCAAATTTGGGGGGTTGTTCCCCCCCCCCCCCAGCTAGGGGGTTAAAGCTACGGGGATGAAAAATAGTTCCGCCTTAAATCGAAAATCGACGTGTCCGAGCGTTTTTCCAGATTTTCAATCCAAATCTAATAAATCGGGGTTGACTGTTTTCCCTGGGACACCCTGTATGTACTAATCTTAAACTAAAAACTACTAACTAATACTGGCCTTTATATATCCGCGTAATCCATCGTTGTAAAATCCAGAAGAACGCAATTGCGTCTTTTCCTGAATAAGGCAGTATTTTCTAGAATTCAGTGATTAGATTCTGTGCGCCTTGGCGTATGCGCCACATTTCGTTACACTGCCCTCCTCAAGGTTGATCGTCCCGATCAACTTAGAGTCTAGATGTACAACTTTCATCTTACTCCTGGTGATGCGCTGAACTCGATAAACCAAATCATTGATCCTCTTGATTATTCTGCAGGGTCCTCCCCATGCTGAAGACAATTTCGGAACACTCCTTTCTTTCTTGTTGGATTATACAGCCATACTAAATCACCTTCTTGAAATCCGACTGAATTGGCATTCAAGTCGTATCTGAGGCGGGATTCTGTAACGGATAGAGATCGTTATTCCTATCGCTATGGAACTTGCTGTCTTCTTCTCTCTTTCCGAAATCAGTAGAGAGGGGACGTCAATAGAGATAGCGAAAATATCTCTATTCCTTACAGAATTCCACTGCTGGTCTTCATTCCGTCCCTGGCCAACTGAATATGCTCCCGAGGTTAATCATGTATCACCAGAAGTCGTGCCCTTACTTCGTCAGCATAATTTCGAATTTCTTTCCGTTCTTCTTCAGGTATTCCAAACATCAGATCGCAAGGTAACCTGAGTTCCCTCCCAAAAACGATTCTAGCTGGAATTCCACTTGTTGACCTGTGAATAGCTGCTCTGGAAGCCATTAAAAATAGAGGCAAATGTTTGTCCCAATCCCGCTGGTTTTTTGTGCGACTACTTTTTTCAGGTCTTCCTCTATATGGTCTTATTGAATCGTTCCACCATGCCATTAGACTGTAGATGTAAAGGTGTTGTCCTTGTCTTACACATTCCCATGATCTCACAAATTTTTTTAAAGATGGCAGACTCGAAGGTTCGTCCCTGATCTGAATGCAACTCATGACGACTGAAAACTTCGCCCACTAATACCTGGGCAATAGTGATGGCTTCTTGATTTGAAATAATAGCGAAAACGTCTGGCCATTTACTGAAGTAATCCATGATAACCAAGATGTATTTGTTACGACGCTCTGACTCAGGGAATGGCGCTTGCCGGCAATATCTATCGCTATTCGTTCAAATGGGAGACCGACGTTGTACTGTGTCATGGGCGCCCGAGATCTTAGTTTAGGGCCTTTACTGGTAGCACAGATGTCGCATTTTCGGCACCAGTTTTTAACGTCTTCATGATAGTGAACCCAGTAAAAACGTTCCCGAATTTTGTCCAAAGTCTTGTTAACTCCAACATGTGTCAAAACATCTTCTACTCGATCTTTTGGAATAACCAGTGTTGGCTCTTAGTAAATTTTCCATCGGCACTTTCCCAAATTCTTTTCAGTAAACCATTTTCTACGGCCAGAGACTTCCGCACTGAGCCCACAGCGCCTTATAAATCAAACTCTTGTTCGACACTTCCCTCCATTCTGGCTTACATTCATCATTTTCTTTGAGATGTAGAAATTACCCGGCGATGTCCTGGTCTGCTTCTTGATCTGCTCTCATTTATTTGGTAGTCCATTTGTCATCAACGATCGGACCCGTTGTTCTCACAGCCGTACCAGTGTTTTTCACATGCATATCGATTTTTTGACGGAGCTTCCAGTCTTTTTTGCATAGTCGTCTAGACAGAGCTTCAGCATTTTCATGAAGGTTTCCTGGTCGATGTTTAGGGCTGGCGTCTCTAGATCTCCAAAAGCGTTGGAACGATCCCTAGATGGAAAGGGCGTCCTTAGTCTACAATTCCATTGCATATGTCCAAGCTTATGGCACCGGTAACATTTTACTCGGTTTCTCGGTGTTGGTGTTTGTTTGAAGTCGTTTCCCAGTTGTCTACCCTCTAGTAATAGTTATAGTTTCTCCATTTTCTCCATGAGCTTACGCATAACATTCTCGAAGTTGCCCTCCTCTTTCGACGATTGCTTATCGTTTGGGTCTTCAATGGATACTGCTCGTATTCTGAGTCGTGAGGCACCAAAGATTGTTTCCAGTTCCAATGCTCGGACGAGGACTTCGCTGCTTTGTCTGAACCTATACATTCACAAGTTTTCTTGGATCTTGGAAATCACAGTCGAAATCGGGTATACTTCCGGGGTAATTTACACGATCGGTTAAGTCTCTTTTGGTGATTGTCACTGGTCACTGCTTACACTGACTTAGTGTCCATACACTAGTGTGCGCAGTAGTCCGCACTATTCCGCAATCAGATTTCACTTTGCAGTCCTCAAATTATATCTCAGTTCGACGCTCTGGGGAGTGTGATATAAAATCTCGGGTCTGTTTATTTAAAATCAAAGTCCAATTAACACAACAATAATTTATTCCACGTTACTATACACTCTGACACTAATTAGTTCACTAATTAACTCAAACAACTAAAATCTTCACAACTCTCAACAATAATCACTAGTTTAGTGGTTATCGTCCTTATCAAATTGAACTTGGTAGGTGTTATTAGGTGCAGGAGTGCACCTGATAACACCTACCAAGTTAAATAATCACTATCTACATCATATTATAGTCAATCTTAAACATAAAATTATTAACTAAATACCGGCCTTTATAAATCCGTAATCTATTCGTGTAAAATCTAGAATAAACGCGATAACCCTTTTTCTCGAATAGCACTCTAAAATCTAGAATCAGCCGTCCAATTCTGTACATCATGGCGGAAGCACCGTATTCTGTGACAGTATCTATTCTATGGATAGTATCTATTCTATGGATAGCAGAGCTGGGCAGGGCTTGAGTGCTTTGTGCTTGCGAAAGTGCTTGAAGCACTTTGAGGACTTGAAAGCCCTGTGCTTCAAGCCCTTTTATAGATTTGTAATTGGGGCTTGCAAAGTCAATTACTTTAGAAAAGTGCTTGGTAATTTGTAATTTAAAAAAGTAATTCAAGCCCTTTCAATGAGCTTCAATTACTTTTAGAGGGCTTGAAGCACTTTTGGGAGCTTGAAGCCCTTTGAAAGGGCTTGAAGCACTTTAAGAGGGCTTGAAGCACTTTTGGGAGCTTGAAGCACTTTGAAAGGGCTTGAAGCACTTTAAAAGGGCTTGAAGCACTTTAAAAGGGCTTGAAGCACTTTAAAAGGGCTTGAAGCACTTTGAAAGGAATTTGAATTGACCATCATTCAACCTATCCGCCACTTAAACATTTTCAATCGTGTTTTGTCCCTTAATTTTTTTTTCTATTATTTGAACTTGAACCGTCTTATGTCTTTTCTCTCTTAACAATGAAGGTTTTGAGCTTAGAATGGAATTAAAAAAAAAAAAAATGAATGAACTTATTATTCAAATAAATAAATAATTTATAGGTACCCTATTTAACTTTATCACTGGATTTTTTTCACTTTTCCCCATTGAACATTTTGAAAACCTTAAAATTGAATTACCATGTAGTACCCCAACTACCCCAAGTACCCCAGAACTACATCTCAAAAAAAAACATACTACTGCTACGTTGTGGAATGTGAAGTTCGTCTTTACTATACCAATTCTGTGTGATGAGTGTACGCGGTAACTTATGCCACTTTGAGAATTTTATTACAAATTCAAAGTGCTTTAGGCACATTTAAAGAGCTTGAAGCACATTTAAAGAGCTTGAAGCACAGTTAAAGAGCTTGAAACCCTTTTCAAGGCACCCCAAGCTCTTTTGATGTGCTTCAAGCACTTTTCAAATCACTTTGAGGGCTTTGTGCTTGTCAAGCCCAAAGCACTTTGAGGGCTTTGTGCTTGTGAAGCACTTTTGAAAATAAAAAGGAATTTGTGCTTGAAATTGAAGCACTTTGATAGAGGGCTTAGGGCTTAGTGCTTCAAGCCCTTTTACTGAGGGCTTTGCCCAGCTCTGATGGATAGTATCTTATCTAATATGACATCTCCTTGTGAAGTAAAATGGAAGATGGAAGACCTCATTGTGATGCTGCACTTTACAATTATTACTGTTATATTGTTCCTATTAAAATAACTTCCCAGAAAGGTCTGGCAGCGATGACATGTTTTAGCTGGGATGCTTACTTGACTAACCAGAAAATTTTTATTTGTTTATTGAACGACATACCTATATGTATTGAAAAAAAATTAATTGTTGATACGTTGGGTGTTAAAAATTATTTATTGAAATTGAAGCAAATTTGTGAAAATTGAATAATTAATTTATGCAAACGTGACTATTGAATCAGCGAATTTTTAACCTTTTGGAAAGTCGGTCTTTGTGGGTGTTGTGTCAATATAAAAAAAGAAAGGTAGGTAGGTTTACAATAATTCCTACATGCGCACAAATTTTGGAAATAAATATAATATCGACCGCCAACTCTCCTCATCTATATATGGGACCTATGATTAATCAGACTATAAATTTATATTCCTTTGAACTTATACTAGTTCAAGACACCAATGAAAAGTATTAGCATATTGAAATGTTTTAACTGTTCTATTTTTTTTTTATTCCATAATTTTCAGATTGAGTAATGATACATTTTTTTGTAATACCTACCTTGAATTTTCAGTTTTAGCTTGCTATTTTTGCTAAGTATAATAACTTAAGTCGACCTTATAAATCAATTCACAAATAAAAAAACCCACATATGGAATCAGCTAATGGCATTGGATTTAAAATGGGAATAAAACTATTGCCTCAGCCTGCTTAAAACAGTTTATTTAAAAAATATCTCAGACTCAACAAGTGATGCATCATCAATTTGTTGCCAATTTTAGTACATGTTTTAAGTTAATCACTAATTAATTTATTAATGAAGCTTTTCATAAGATTAATTTAAAGTATATTTATAGAGCAAACTGGTTTGGTTAATGAAAAGCATCATATTTTGAAGAATACATTGAAAATCATGGACAATATAGTTAAAAAAAAAAAGTAGTTTATTACTAAAATACATTATTTTTACATTATGTAACAAAATTCTTCCTGGTCAATTATAGTAACAGCAAATATTTACAAAAAAAAAAACAAATTATAAACACCTTTAACATAAATATGGAACATTCTCCTTTTTATAAATTATAAAACTTATTACTAAAAAATTATAAACTAGGGAAGTTAAAGCAAACAGTTTTAAAGTCAACAACTCTCATTTATTGTACTAAAACGTACAACACAATCCCTTCTGTAATTTAAGTTAAGCCTTGATTAATTTGGTAAAGTATCATACAAAATATCTTTGACAGATTGAGAGAGATTTTCTGGAAATTTAATGTCAAAGTTTACTATCAAATCACCCCTACGTGATGGTTCTTTTGGCAGTGGTAAACCATATCCTTGAATACGCCTTACTGTATTTGGTTTTATTACTTCGGTAGTATAGTGAAGAGGAATCAGTTTAGCAGACATTGTTGGTACTTCAATTGTACACCCACACAAGGCCTGTAACAAAAGAAAAAAAATATTTACTTGACAAAAAAATTATAAAATTCTCAAAATAGGAAGGATGTTATTTTTAGTAGCTGTCGTCACAGTAGGTCAAGTAAGCCAGCTAAATATAGACCAATATTGAAATTCTAATTTTATATAATCAAAAACTGTGTGCAAAATGTTTAGTAAAATGGTAAAATCTGGATAAACTACCTGTTTGAGTGAGATTTTAGCTGTATATCTGATGTCACTGCCCTCACGCTTGAAAAGTGGATGAGCCTTGTCCCTGATGATGAAAACAATATCAGCAGGGATCTTATTTCTTCCTTGATCGCCTTCACGTTGGAATGTGATTTTTGTTCCAGCTTTCCACCCTGGCTTGACATTGATAGTCAAGACTTTGTCTTCCTTTTTTGTAGTCCCATCAGGTTGTAATACTTTTCTGCTTATTTTCATCTTTTTTGTACACCCCTTGGTGATGTCCTCTAGGCTTACATATAAGTCGTGTTCAATGGCTGCATCTTGGATCTTATCCTTGTTTCTATTGGGACTTTGGAAATTGAAAGAGTGACTTCTGAAGGCTCCTCCAGGGCCTCCTCTTGGTGGGCCGCCACCCAAGGACGCAAATGGATCATCAACATCCATATCATCGTCATGCATTGCAAACATTCGCCCATTATTACCAAAATCAAAAAAGGCTGAGAATGGTGTCGAGTTGCCAAAGAATTGAGCAAATGTAGCCCTTGGATCGCCATGGTATGTGTAAGAGAAGTTTCCAGGGGCTCCAGATCCACCACCTCCTCCACCTGGACTTCCTTTCAGCCCTTCTTCTCCATGCATATCGTAGATATCCCGTTTTTTCTTATCAGATAAAACTTCATAGGCCTCCGCCACTTCCTTGAATTTTTCCTCGGCTCCAGCTGTTTTATTCTTGTCAGGATGGTATTTTAGCGCCAGCTTTCTATACGCCTTTTTGATGTCATCATCGCTGGCCCCTTTAGCGATTCCTAATGTTTTATAATAATCTTTTCCCATATTTGGTTTGCACTTAAATTACTGCTGTCAATGTCACTGAACAGCTGCCACTGAAATTTACTATTACTATAGCAAGGGTGGAAATTCACTTAAATTTGTTCACTAGCAAATCTTGTCTATTGTAAACTATTGTACACTCCTAATTATTGACGCACAGTAGAAGGTTACTTGCTATTTTAAATATTATTCTATTCTATCAATGGATCGACCTTCTACAGGAACAAATAACCATATGCTTGCACAAACACAGTTTAAAATGGTTCGTATCTTCGTTTTACTTCTCTACTTATGTCGACAATATAATGCATACGCATAACTAATACTAAAGCGCCTCTGCCTTCTGCTGCTAATTTAAAGGTTATATCAACGAGACGAGAACGCTCACCATTATTCCGGAATTTACTAGATACACATCAGCGGCGCTTCGGTATGGTCAAATAATCTATCGATTATTTTTATTCTTTTGTATTTGGGTTAGTTACGGTACATTATACATACAAATTTTCCGGATTTTTTTAGAATTAACCAATATTTGGTATTAATAGGCCACTTTCACATTTTTCAAAAACATTTTTGAACTATTCCGTTAAGTCATTATAATAACATCCGTATACTTTTTTCCAAAAAAAAAGCTTATTTTTGAAAATAAAATAATTTGAAAATCGAATTTCACATTTGCTGCGAAAACGCGGGATAGTAAATTTACGTCACTTTCCCAAAAATGCGAGGATTCCAAATTTCTCAGTAATAAATTATTCCAAAACATAACATAAAAAATAGTTATTTCACAACTTACACGTAAAACTGAGGTTTTTTCTCGCGTCTCAAAGTTTTGAAACATTTTTCAAAACTGGTCAAACACAGTTTCACAATGACGTCATTACTTTTCGGCGCGAGGAAATGGTTTAAAAACGTCGATTAATTGGATTGTATTTTGAAACGGTTTGAACCAATTTTGTGTGACGTCATGGGTCCATCGCGAGAATATACACTATTTCAAACCTGTTTTGAACCAGTTTCAAAAAAGTGAAAGCGAGAAAACAGCTCTGTTTTCGTCCTTAACTTCGTTATAAAAAAAAACGGATAGGTATAATCGGTGAACTCTTGCTACTAGTACAATGATCCTAAAATTAGTAAAATATTATAGAATATCGGCTCAATGAGAGGCCGTTTTCAGTCACGTGATTTTTTGTTCAAATTTACTATTTTTATTTAACGACTTCTTTAAAGTAGTCTTGCAAAATATTGGTCATTCTCGGTTGCATCCATGTATCCGCGTCAAAAAATTATTTGTCATATTCCTGGCACGTAAAAGGGGACTATTATTAAGTAATTTTAGGACCGTCTTAAAAAACTTTAAGGGCCTAATTCGATACGCCAACTTTGCGATTTTGTAAATTTAATCAGAAAGTGCCGAAAGTGGGTCATATATAGTATTATTGAAACGAACGAAAACTAGAGAACTTTAATTTTATTTCAACATACGGAGAAAATACAGGTTGGTTTTGTGAATACTCTATTAAACTGAACTAGGAGTAGGACCCAATATCTTAAACAACAACAAACCCATTGCATACATTTTAATTTTTACCTGAAAACTTCTCAAATACCTTCTATACGATTTTTTTTCAAAAAGAACTTCTAAATGCTTTATAATTTATATGGGATAATTCGCCTGACTGCTTTAGTTTGACGTCACACGAAAAAGCTACGCCATTTTTTGTGGCGTCACGAGGTACATCGAGTCAACCGCTGTCATTTTATTAGTCAATTAAAGGCGATTAACCAGCAAGGATGATACACACTACTACTACAGGATGGACTAGCCTCATAAGGCCTGTGTGTATACGACGAATACCTCGTGACGTCACCGTCGCGGCGGGATTTTAGCCAGTTTCAATTTCAATTATTCATTACGTTAATATTCAACATATTATTAAAAAAAAAATAGGGATATTTTTTAGGTGTCATTGATCGTTGTAATTCAATAAAAAACATTTCTGAAAGGAGCCTATTCTAAGAACAGGCGCGTGTCAAACGGCCCCGCCCGCAGACCCCGCCAGTCGGGGGCGGGGGGGCCCGGGCCCCCAATATACTCTAAGAAAAACTAATACCTACATCAAACAAACTCCAAAAATACAAATATGCACTATTTAAACATTTCAAATCCATATTTAATTTGTCACCATTTCTTTCGAACATAAGAAATGTGAACGCCCAAACAATTGTCAACCCTGGCTGCGAAACCTCAGTGATTCCCATAGGTTATTCTCCGTTTTAATGGGAATTTCCGGTTATTAGCGAGTCTTTGTTGTTTCACTTGTTACGAACTTTTCAATCATCCCTCCTTTATTATAATAACATATAATAATTTATAGAAATAAATTTAGTTTCAAAAATTCGCTGTGTTTTTTAACTATTAGATAATGATATTGTGTATAAATATTTACTATAAAGGGTTATTTTTGGAAAATATAATAGTGACATAGGGGGCCTCAAAAAAAAGTTCGCGGGGGGGCCCCCAAAAAATTTGACACGCTACTGTTTAAGAAGAATTAAAGTAGGTACCTATTCCAGAAACAATTTACTTATACACATATCTACATTTTGCACTTTATATTTTACGTAAATGTCACTCTTTCTACTTCTTCTACCCTGAAAATTATAACACTATGCTATACTCATAGTTTGTGGTTCAACAAAATTATCAAAATAATGTACTAAAATTCCAACTGCGCCGTCACTGATTCGGAGAATAAATCCATCCCATTCTCTTGCGCGAAATATTACAATGGCGCGGGAAATTTAAGTATTCTAGAAAGGGGTATTGACGTGCGCTTTAGCGACGAAGCCATGTTTATTTTTAATTATCTTATCAAGAAGAGCCAGAAAATTTAATGAATTTAGGTTTTTGAGCCAATTAAGCGAAAACAAGTTGTATGTTCAAATTTATTTAGGTGGGTACTTACTGATTATGTGCAATATAATCAAGATTATTTTAGCTTATTTCACTGTAATTTCCCGTACAGTGACTCTATTACCACAGTGGCGACAATTGCCGTCTTATTTTTGATTGGTTCTTTAAAATCCCATATATTCATATGGAAAACGCCTCCATTTTGTGCCCAACCTCTTGCTACTTTTAAGTATGAATACCTATATAGGATTTAAATGGACATCCATATAAAAAATTGAAAACAACGTATCCGATAACTATAATTAGGCACATCAAATACGTTGTTTTCCATTTTTTTGATGGATGTCCATTTAAATCCTATATATTCATATTCAAAAGTAGCAAGAGGTTGGGTACAAAATGGCGGCGGGACCTCTATTGTCGCTGTCGCCACTGTATGTGAAGGTTTATTTAACCACTGTAATTCCCCGGTTGCGGAAACGTTGCCAACTTAGCGGATTTCCCGTCATATCTAACGGATTTTGGTGCGGATTTCCCGTCATATCTAACGGATTTTGGTGAAGGGAAGCGGAAAAAAAACAATTTCAACGGGTGACGGATTTTTGAAGTGAAAACTTCTTTAGAATCGTTGGGAGTGATTTGAGACGATAAAACGAAAAAGCTACCCTGAAACGAAAAAGCGACCCTGAAACGAAAAAGCAACACTTTTTTAGCACGCTTATATTAACACACAACAAGAACCTGGAACAAGCCAAGTGAGCTGGTCAAGTCTGGAAAATGTCTGGATAAATCTGGATGAAGTCTGGAAAAGTCTGGGAATCTCTGGAAACGTCTGGAAAGAGCCTGGAAATTTCTGGAAAGGGTCGAAAAAATTCTGCCAAAAGTCCCAAAAGACCTGGGGATCATTTTCCAGAATCCGGATCAGTCTGTACAAGTCTGGATAAGGTCTGGATAAATCTAGATAAAGTCTGTAAAACTCTGGATAAGTCTGGTTATTGTCTGGAAAAGTCTGGAAATCTCCTGGGACCTTTTCCAGAATTTTTCCGCCCCTTTCGAGAAATTTTCAGGCCAGGTTCCAGACGTTTCCAGAGTTTTCCAGACATTATCCAGACTTATCCATGGCTTTCCAGAATTTTCCAGACTTCATCCAGATTAATCGAGACTTTATCCAGGCCTGTACAGGCTGATCCGAATTCTGGAAAATGATCCCCTGGTCTTTTGGGACCTTTTCAGAATTTTTCCAACCCTTTTCAGAAATTTCCAAGTCTTTTCCAGACGTTTCCAGACTTTTCCAGATAATATCCAGACTCATCCAGAGTTTTCCAGAGTTTTACAGACTTTATCCAGATTTATCCAGACCTTATCCAGACTTGTACAGACTGATCCGGATTCTGGAAAATGATCCCCAGGTCTTTTGGGACCCATGGCAGAATTTTTCGACCCTTTCCAGAAATTTCCAGGCTGTTTCCAGAGATTTCCAGACATTATCCAGACTTGTCCAGAGCTTTCCAGAGTTTTCCAGACTCCATCCAGATTAATCCAGACTTTATCCAGAAGTGTTCAGACTGATCCTGATTCTGAAAAATGATCCCCAGGTCTTTTGGGACCTTTTTCAGAATTTTTCCAACCCTTTCCAGAAATTTCCAAGTCTTTTCCAGACGTTTCCAGACTTTTCCAGATAATATCCAGACTCATCCAGAGTTTTCCAGAGTTTTACAGACTTTATCCAGATTTATCCAGACCTTATCCAGACTTGTACAGACTGATCCGGATTCTGGAAAATGATCCCCAGGTCTTTTGGGACCTTTGGCAGAATTTTTCCGACCCTTTCCAGAAATTTCCAGGCTCTTTCCAGACGTTTCCAGAGATTTCCAGACTTTTCCAGACTTCATCCAGATTTATCCAGACATTTTCCAGACTTGTTCCAGCTCACTTGGCTTGTTCCAGGTTCTTGTTGTGTGTTAATATAAGCGTGTTAAAAAAGTGTTGCTTTTTCGTTTCAGGGTCGCTTTTTCGTTTCATCGTCTCAAATCACTCCCGACGATTCTAAAGAAGTTTTCACTTAAAAAAAAATAATATTTAAAAGTACAGACAAGTTAAATTCTACATATGAAGAACATAATTATATTCTCATTGTCAAAACTCAGTGTCAAAAAATAATAATAATAACAAAAGACTGAAAGAAAAAAATACAAATCAAGTAAACCAGCATAAACAGTCTAAAATTGGTCTCCAAAAAACTCCGTTACACTATAAGTAGGCTGTTTACATTAATAGCTCCTAAGCCAAGCCAATTAAATTTTTTTTTTAAGGATTGTACGGATCTTATGCTAATAGGCAAATGGTATGTATTTTTTACCTAGCTGTAACTACTGCAACTGTAACTATAGTGACGTAGACTGCGAGCAGAGACTGGTGACCGGCGACCGGTGAATATGACTATGACTATGACTATTACTATGACTGTGACTGTGACTCTGTAACTGATACTGGCGCTAGGACTGTGACTGTCCCTGTGACTATGACTGTGAACCGTGGACGGTGCCAGGTGAAGTGTGGACAGTGACAATGTGAATGGCTATGACTGTGCCTCTGAGCCTGTGACTCTGTCACTGTTACTGGGACTAGGACTGCGACTGCAACTTCAACTGCAACGGGAACGACAACTTCAACTGCAACTGGATTAACTGTATCTGCAACTGTAAATGGAACTGCAACTGTGACTGTGACATCGAGTGCGACCGGAGACTGGTGACCGGGCGACCGGTGAATGTCACTATTACTATTATTACTATTGCGACTGTGACTCTGACTAGTCTGACTCTGTAACTTTATACTGGTGTTAGGATGACTGTGACTATGACTGTAACTGTGACTGTGACTCTAACTCCGTGACTGATACGGAAAATAATTGACCGTACACAACGCATAATTTACAATAAGACCGAGTTTGCGAGGTTGACGATGCCTTTAAAAGTGGTCTACTATTAGCTCGACCGATCAACATAAAAAAAAAATTTGGTGGCCTTTCAACAAACACTAGAGGGGCGATGTGGGTACTTAGATGTTCTTTGTTGGCCAACCCAAATATCAATGAATAAAAAATACATATTTTATAGACATACAACTCATACAAGTTGCTACCTATACTTTATTCCTGATATTATGAAGGACGCTATTCTATGGTTTATTCCGTCTGTATCTTCTATTACGGTTAGCGGTTCCGTTTGTACCGATAAGCTGAAAGAGTAGACCCTTAGCAGGTCCTAAATTTCAAACGTATTCTTATCCGCATGGACATGCGCATGCGCAGAATAGATACGCTGGTTTCGTTGCGTTTCGTTGTCCGCATCGTTACGGGCATAGTCTCGTATCCGTATCCAAAAACGTATCTCAACAATTGCCATTTGACACTATTGAGAAATTTTCCTATAAGTTATATCGCTGAAATAACTTCAACAACACAAACACGGAGTTAGACCTACCTACTTATAGATATCTAATAAAAGAAAACCTACAAACACACCTAACAAAATAAACACAACCCTTTCTGAGGTTTGAAAACGTTTCATCCGGATACGATCGCATTCGACGTTTTCGTATCACGTAAAGCTTCGTACAGACTTATTAAGCCATATTCTCGCGTCCACTTTTTTGAAATTGGTTCAAAACAGGTTTGAAACAGGAAATCGTGTTTCCATTGACTGTTTCAAACCGGTTTTGAACCAATGTCAAAAAAGTGAACGCGAGAAAACGACTTTGGTTTTACTACATTAATTAAACATTCTAATAGCGAATTCTATTGGTAGAACCAGTGCAGAAAAATGTGATTTTATCTCTTTCTTATACAAAGTGGTAGAAAAAGATAAATTTATTTTCTAAACTACGACCGCTAGTGCAAAACAAGGATGATAAACAGCTACAGGATTGCTTATCGGCTTCGTTTTTGGTAATCGCCGCCATATTGGTGTATCACCATTTCCGACGTAATAACTATGTCGTCAGCTGTTTAAACAGCCTACGTCAAGGCGAGAAATATCATGCTGTTACGTCACAATTGGTGATTTGGTCGGGGGGGGGGGGGGGGGGGATTTATTCCACACAGGCCTTATGAGGATAGGCCATCCTGTAGTAGTAGTGTGTATCATCCTTGAGTGCAAACAGCTGACGACTTAGTTATGACGTCGGAAATGGTGACACACCAATATGGCGGCGATTACCAAAAACGGGGCCGATAAATAGCTATCCTAGTAGTGTCTATTATCCTTGACGCCGAACAACAAACAGAACAGCGAACCGAACGGCAATCCAAACACTTAATTTGGACTGGTCCACGAACGGCCAGAATTTGCGAACCGGTTTGCAAACGCGTTCGTAGCCCCGTCGAAATTAGTGTTTCGATCAACGTTCGGTTGGTTATTCTGTTTGTTGTTCGGCGTAAAACTTCGTACAGACTTAAATATTACGCCGAACAACAGACAGAATAACGAACCGAACTCTCCGAACTACGATCGAAACACTCATTTGGAGGGGGCTACGAACGCGTTTGCAAACCGGTTCGCAAATCCTGGCCGTTCGTCGCCCCGTCCAAATTAGTGTTTCGATTGTAGTTCGGCTCGTTGTTCTGTTTGTTGTTCGGCGTAATGTTCAAGTCTCTACGAAACTTAATGTTGAAGTCTGTACGAAGCTTAATATGGCCATGCTAAAAAGGAGTTTTGGGCGGTCTACGTACGTAAGTCGATGCGTTTACGGATACGGATACGTAGAAAAATTAAGGGGTTTGCTTTAAGGCTTAAAGTGTCTAGTGGTTACATACGGAACACGGTTTCAGCAATTACTATCAAGAACACTTTGAAAGTAGTATGAAGAGTTTATTTAATAATTTTAATAAAGGTGTAGACGCATTTATTAAATAAAGCTAAAAAATCTACCAAATGTAAATATGTACAATAGGAGATACTTGAGACAGCATATGCGAGATGAATATAATATACATAGCTTTATTAGTAAGAAAACACCATTTGATATTATTCTATGAAAAGTCCAAAGTCGCACAATAAAGATACTTATTATACACTAAACAGAATAGCTTAGCCTCATAAGGCCTGTGTAGATCAATCAAATATCAAGATTTTCAAGCCAAACACCACGCCAAAGTACCAGTCCGCCGGCGCAAATGGCTAACGACACCGTTGATGACGTACAAATTAGTTGGATACAAAATTCTCGTACACTAGGGGACGGGACGAAGATCGAAAATATACGAGTTTGTTCAGTGCAGTGTATGCAAGATGTCAAGCGATAAGGAGGAAGAATCAGGAGATTGAGGATTAATCGATATATAGAAATATATAAAAATGTACAATTTTTGTAGCTGCTTAGGGAACTACAGGCAAATGACGAAAAATTCCAGTCTTTCTATCGTATGAGTAAAGAAAACCTATATTCTTCTAGTTTTATAAACACGGATACTTTTCTACCTCTTCAACAACTTTTTCATTTATTTCGTATTTCGTCATTTGAATACACAAATTGCAAAAAAAATCTCCAAGAAATCCTCGCGCTACCAACAGTTCCGAGTCTCTTGGCGATTTATCACTCCAGTAGCATACGGGTCGGCGACTAGTAGGGCCGTGTACGACATTCGATTTGAATAAACATGCCGTGGACTTGCAAAAGACTGTCAAGTGATTTTATAGTTTAATTTCAGTTTCATACCAGTAGCTCCGTGTGCGGCGGGCCTTACTGTTTCTGGGCGATTCGAATCCAGATAATTCAAGATGGCGATGAGGCCCGAAATGTGAACAAACATCATCCTTGAACAAACATTGCCTCCATATAAATGTGTGTTATTTCTACCTGTTTGAGAGTTTAATTTGATGAATCTTAATTTTCTTCAATTTCGTTTAATATTCGTAGTTAAAACCAAGTTACTTGGAATATTTACCTACCAATAAAATACCTGAGGCGTTTTCTCGCGTCTCAAGCGTTTCAAAACATTTTTCAAAACTGGTTTAAGTAATGTCACCATGACGTCATAATTTCTCGGCGGGAGAAAATGGTTTGAAAACGTAGATTGGATTATATTTCGAAACGGTTTGAACCAATTTTGACGTGACGTCATGGGTTTATCGCGAGAATGTAGTTTTTCGAAACAGTTTTGAACCAGTTTTAAAAAAGTGGACACGAGAAAACGCCTCTGGGCATCAGGTACAAAACGGACCCCGAGAACCTGTGCAAATGAATGTCAAAAACATAAATTAGATTGACCATTGCACAGCAACGCCAAAAATAAAAATTTTTATAAAAAAAACGTTCTCAAACTGATCAAAACACTTTAGTCATTCACAGAAAATACACAGTCTCTTATGGACGTCAAAGCTGTTTTCTCGCGTCCAGTTTTTTGAAACTGGTTCAAAACAGGTTTGAAAGAGTATATTCTCGCGATGAACCTATGACGTCACACAAAATTGGTTCAAACCGTTTCGAAATACAATCCAATCCACGTTTTCAAACCATTTTCCCGCGACAAGAAGTTATAACGTCATTATGAAACTGTTTTAAACCAGTTTTGAAAAATGTTTCAAAACTTTGAGACGCGAGAACACACCTCAAGTTTGTTATGCCACGGCGCCATCTTTACGTCAAAGATCAAATCGCCCTATACGTTGTAAACAATAAACATAATAGAAATGGCAAGGTGCTTTGGTGCTTACCTCAACAGCAGATTATTTTTCGTTTCTAACCGGATTTTCAGGAACCGACTAACCGACATTCTACCGCCATTTACCGATCGGTTAACCAGAAAGACAAACGGTATACACCACCCAGTAGAAAGCCATCTGTCAAAACATGTTTGGGTTTGCTTGCACTTTTGACATTTTCGATAAATTATTTTTTTCTTGTGGTTTGTACTTGGTGGTCCTTTCCTTTTGTGGTTTGCCCTATCCTATTTGAACTAGGCTAGATTTACCTAGTGTTTATTTTGAGTTACAATGTAAAGCATTCCTCAAGGTACTATAATTTTTATGCAGTGCTGATACCACAATAAGACTTTGCTGATAACAGAATTCGTCATACCATACCCCTTGTCTCGGCTTAGTCCGACTGCAGGGCCGGGTGGTTGGTAGCAGAGACGAACCAGAACCCACCAGTTGTGAAAAAAACAAAAATAAAGTGTGAATTGGAAACCCTGCCGTTGCTGTTCCTGCGAGTTGTCATGGTACTTTACCCTACTTTACAGTTTATCTCTACCTTCGCCGACCGTTGAGTGTTTACATGATTTTTTAGAGTTGTTTCTTCTAAAAAGTTAACAATGTTATCCGAAGTACCAAAAGAGCTGAAGCGGTTTCTCAGGCACTGCCAGAGTTTACGCAGGATACTCAAAGATACAAATGCTTCACTTAATGATATCAATAACCTCCTACAATTGGGGAGTAAGTATAATTATTTTCATTCTACCTATTGTAATTTTGGTTTACAGTCTAATTGAAAACTCTCAATTTGATTAGTCATTATTAGTCATTAATAATAATAGAGCCTTAAATTAGCTCAACAAATTCGTATGTGGTTTTATCTTGATTCGGACTACTTTAGCCATCAAAACATTGCAAAATTTTAATTTTCACGCATTGCTCTTACACATTATTATTTCAGTTAAACATCTACACCATATTATTTAATACTTACTTTTTATAGGAGATATTAAAAAGGATTTATCCATTTTTGAGCCCTTGGAAACTCTGTCCAATAAAGTAGAAAGAATTCCAAACCTCCTGATTTTTGGACAATCTTGTCATGCTAAAGCATTGTTTATAAACTTGTTGCTTCAACAGAAGATTCTACCATGTTCTAGTTCCCAATGGAGACGCGTAAGTTGATTAATTTATAAGTTTGATGATTACTCTATTTATTTTGAATGTCAGTTTTTTGATAATAATGAAAGATTTACTGATTTGACTATTAATTACACAATCAGGGTTGGGTGTTGGGTAATGACCAGGCACATAGTGGAGTGGAGTAGCATCAAATCCCAACATTTCCAGCAAGTTTCAGTTTCATCAAATAAATTCAGATTTTGTACTTTTATATACAGAAAAAGAATAAGACCAGAATATTTAATGCTTTCATTATGAGAAGTGATATTAATGGAGTAATCAATATGTCCAGGATTACCTATTCAACTTCATCCTAAAAAAGTTTCCTAATCGTATGCAGTTTCGCTCACTTTTAATTTTTCATTATAGATAATTTTAAAATATGGATCAACGAAAAGCATTCACCTGACACTTGATGATGAAATAGAAATTGTAGAGAACCTCAAAGCCCATGAAGAACTATTATGGGTTACTATACCAGAAGAAGACTTGAGAAGAACAGAAAACGAAAATTTGTTAGATCACTGTCCTTCAGTAGAAGTACTTCTGAAACATAAACTGCTTAAAGATAATATTAAGATTATAGTTCCTCCAGATTGCAGTCTTGATCAGCTGATTGAAGTTTTGAGGAAACATGTTGAAAACGTATTGCCTGTGATAATATATGCTGTATCTGAAGAAACATTAACTGATTCAAATATACAAGAGATAAGAAAATTAAAAGACATTTTTCACGTTCCATTTTTGTTTGTGAGCTTGACAACTACTGATTTTCAATCCAAGGATGCTAACGCTTTTACCCTAAGTACTGAATCTTTAACTGAGTCTGAAAAACATTTGGTTGAAAGCTGCCGCCAGGAGAGTGAAAATAATTTGCACAGTCTTAGAGAACAGCTTTTTAGGTTAGGTGAGTACTTATCTTTTTCAATTTAATTGATTGTTTATTATATTAATTGTTCTATTGCAGGTTATTTAAATGCAGAATCAGATGGAGAAAATAACGAGGATAAAGAAAATACAGATAAATTGAAAAGAAAAAAATCATTTTGTCTGGAATGCTCTTTGGATAACACCCTGATTTGTGATAGAGACATTAATAAGGACTTTATTTTATTTATTAAGGATATTTTAAGATCCAGTATTCTAAAAATGGCCAAAGCGTTGAGTGATGTAAGTCAGGTATTTCTTGTGATAACTTCTTCATTTTATTTCCAAATATTGTAGATTCATAATTCCTGTCTAAGAAAATTTATACTGTTTGCATTTGATATGGCAAGAGAAATTCAAATAACTCCAAAAAGAATTTTATATGCCCAAGATATTGAGCTCAAAATGTATACAACTCTCATGAAAATAGCTAGCGAGCAACAAGAAGAAATAACTAATATTATTCAAAGGACTTTGCTGGATATGAAATCAAATGTGGCAGAGGTTTTAGAGGGATATAATTTTTCCGAAAATTGTAAGAACTTATTTCTTATTTCTACATCAGTTTTCTCCTAGGTTTTCTCATAAGGCTTGATTTACTAAAATAAAAATAGAATTTCAAAACTTGATTTCATTGAACATTGAATACTTGAACATAATAATGCTTAATTAAGAAAATAAGCCAAAACCACTTATCACTCACTTTTTAAGCTCCACAGTTGGTCGATTACTGAAATAATTTTGTTTCGGTGAGATATTTTCAGAATAGTATGCAATGTACCTGAATCAAATCGGATCTCTGCAGTGTGAATAGTTTTCGGTTTTCGCCTACTTTTATTTACCAAATATTTATTATGACTTATTTTTCAAAATTTGCATTCTGTTTTAATAAATGAGCTCTAGAATTTTAGAATTAGAGTGCATTTGGTTGACTATAATATTATTTCTTTTAGCTCCTACTCCAATTTCCCCTAAAGTAGCATCTATGGAAATTCAACAACTAGTTCTTAAGAGATTAAGAACCTCAGTTGCTACCCAAATAGTTCAATCAGTAGGATGCCTGCAAGAAAGTTTTACAGGAACTCTTCAGAGATGCCTGGAAAGTCTAGAAAGAAATTGTCACGATTCAGAAGGCAACCTGTCTGCTTCTGATGCAGTTAAACAAATAATTCATGCAGCTTATGATATAGATTTAAAAACGCCTACGTCGTTTTCGATAGTTCATACGTTTATGGATAAGCTAAGGAAATTGTTGGGGACTTTTGCCTCTCCTTGGTCATCCACCAACCAGTTCCAATGTTCTCTGCAATGGCAGCTGCAAGTTGTCACTAATATGATTGATTCTCTAAGTGCTTCTAAGTTGGCGAAAACCATTTCTGTTCAGGTAAAAACAAAACTTCTTATTTCATATTATGTCCTTGAAATAACCAGGTGCCCTTTGTGGTCATATATTAAATTAAATAACATTCCCTTCTAAGGGGTATGAACAAGAGCACCTGAACTGTTCAAAAATGTCAAATTGAATTTCAAGGTATCGACGATCCTCAGCGAAATTTTCTTATTAATAAATAATTAAATTAAATAATAATTTAGTTGTAAGGTACTTAATGTTTCTTGTTGTTTTTTTTTTTTAATGGGTCTTGCCCGTAAATAAATAAATAAATAATAATTTAATTCCTAGTTTCAAGAGCATGTTCGTTCATCTCATGAAGCTTTCCAATCAGCAATGAAAGGCCTAGAAAATCAACTTTCCGGTCAACTAGAACAAACCGAGGAACAAAGAATTGCTATAAGAAAAAAACATGCTCCTAGATTTGCTAGGCTTGCACTGGAAAGTACTTCTTTGTGTGATTTGGTGAGGTGGGGCATGCCAAAACAAATCCGAGAAATCGGAAGAGGTCAGTATGGGGTTGTGTCGTCATGTGAACCATGGGGAAAAATTAATCCCTGCGCTTTTAAATCAGTTGTACCGCCTGATGATAGACATTGGAATGATTTGGCTATGGAATTTTATTATACACGGTAATTTAATTTTATCGATAGATAAAATTTATAATTTACGAAAATATATATTTTTCTTAAACAGTACAATACCAGAACATGCTCGAATAGTTAAGCTAAGAGGCTCAGTAATTGATTATACTTACGGCGGAGGTACATCACCAGCAGTACTACTAGTAATGGAGAGAATGATTAAAGATTTATATTGCGGTTTAAGAAGCGGACTATCTTGGATGAAACGACTTCGGATAGCTATAGATGTGATTGAAGGGATTCGATACTTGCATTCTCAAGGATTAGTTCACAGAGATATTAAACTTAAAAATGTGTTGGTAAGTAAGAAAGTAACTAACCGTCATTGGCTTAACCAAAATTTAACCCAATACCCAATGAAAGTATTTGTAATAAACATCACGTAGAGAACAAATAATAAGAATCAAAATCCCTATCCCATCTTAACACCTCTCTATATTCTCGGAAATGGCGGCTGAGGCGATCGCGAATAAGAGCCAGTTGGACGTCATTTACACAGATTGTGAGAAGGCTTTTGACAGGGTGGACCATGAGTTGCTGCTTTGCAAGCTTGCTGAGTTTGGGGTGTCAGAGGATGCTTACCATCTTGTGAGGTCATACCTAATAGGCAGGGTCCAGACAGTGAGGGTCGGCGCTTGCAACTCTGAGGCGTTTGTTGGAACCTCAGGTGTCCCGCAGGGTAGTAAACTGGGCCCTCTTTTCTTTTTGTGTTTCATCAATTCATTGCCTGACTGCCTGAGGGACTCTATGGGACTTCTCTTTGCTGATGACTTCAAGCTCTGTAGGATTGTTGAGCGGCAGGAGGACTGCAGAAGGCTTCAGGGTGACATGGATAGGGTGATGGACTGGTTCAACAACAACAGAATGTCCCTAAATGTTAATAAGTGTTCTGTTGTCAGCTTTACGAGACGAACAAACCCAATAGAAGAAACATACAAGATTGGTGATACTGAGCTTGATCGTCAAACAGAGGTGAAGGATTTGAAATGAAATGAAATGAAATGAAATGAAAAATATTTTTATTTAGCACTTGGCTACTTATAACTAAATCCAAAAATTACATCAAAAGAAAAATTAACATTGATTGCGCAAATACGTAAACAGTCTCCTATTAAAGATATATACATTTGGTGAATCTTTCACAGCATCAGGCATTTCATTAAAAAAGCGAAGCCCTTCATAAAACAGTGTTTTTTGCAATGCTGAAGTTCGCACGATGCCAAGATTGTAGTTTTGTTTGGATCTTATATTGTGATTATGAAATTGCAATCGTTTTTTTAAGTAGGCATTCAAATACTCCGGCATTAGGCTATGTTCAATTTTATAAATTAGAACAAGGTTCGCCTTTCTAATGTTCTGCTCAACATTCAACCAATTTAGAGTTTCCAACATGTATTCTATCGGTGTATACTTACTACAGTTTAATAAAATACGCATAATTTTGTTCTGCTGTAGTTGCAATTTTCGCACCTCTTCTTTGTTACAAGAAATTAGTACTGAGCTGCAATATGCAAAGTGAGGTAGAATGATAGTCTTGTAAATCAACATTTTTGCCCATTCAGAAACACAATAAGATATTCTACTGAAAAAACCTATTTTTTTACCTAATTTTTTACAAACATAATCAACATGAATTGAAAAATTCAACTGCGGATCCAAAATGACACCCAAATATTTAATTTCGTTTACAAACTCTATGGTTACATCATTTATGGACAAAGATAAACCTAAATTATGAAATTTTTTACAATTTACAGCTGAGCCCACCACCATACATTTTGTTTTTGAGGAGTTCAATTTTAATTTATTTTGACATAACCACTCATACAATACAGTTAGCTCACTATTTAATATATTTACAACTTCTAGGTAATTCTTTCCAGACACTGATATGAGGGTATCGTCAGCAAATAAATTAACAAAACAGTTTTTCAAAGCCCTATGGAGATCATTAATATATATAATAAATAAAAGTGGTCCCAAGACACTTCCCTGGGGTACACCCAGCACACTTTCCTTTTTTTGAGATACCCTATTAGCTATTTTTGTTTTATGAAACCTGTCTTTTAAATAGTTATCAATCCAACTTAAAGCACATTTATCCACACCATAATATTCCAGTTTTTTAAGAAGAATTTGTCGATCAATTGTCTCGAAAGCACGCTGAAGATCCACAAAAACAGCAATCACTAATTCACCATTGTTTATTTTTTCTCGCCAATTTGCACATACATACTGAATCGCTGACTCACAGGAATGTTGACTTCTAAATCCAGACTGACCCGTGAATAGCAAGTGATTTTTCTCGAAGTACTCCCTCAGTTGATTGCAGACGATGGTTTCGATTATCTTATCTACAGCTGGTAAAAGATTTATAGGCCTAAATTCTGAAGGAACCTTTGGTTTATTCACTTTTGGGATAGGTGTTATTACACTTGTTTTCAGGTCATGTGGTATTTTTCCGGTGGTGATTGAGGCATTAATCAAGTACAAAAGAGGATATCCAATTACACAGAATAATTGTTTTATCAGTTTAATATTCAAACTATCATCGCTCGACCCTTTATTTTTCAAGCTAAAAATAGCTTTTTTTAATTGAGATAAATTTATGGTCTGAAAATTTGAAAAGTTTGTCTTCACATTAAAATTTACGTCTTCCCACTCTTTATACTCTATACTCTCTGAAATTTCATGCAAAGAGTCTGAAAAGAAATTATTGAAGTTTTCTTCCACAGAGCTATTATAATGGTCAAAATTCATATCTGTGAAATCAGTAGATTGTTTCCCTGTCCCAACTAAGTCCTTCAGAGCTCTCCACATCCTTTTGCTGTCGCCTTTACAGTTATCAATATGTTGTTCATAATATCGTGTTTTGTTCTTCCTCATCGTGGATACAACTTCATTTCTACATCCCTTGTAGCATTCCCAGTCTGTGTTTAGTTTTGTGATACAAAATTTTTGGTAGGCTCTATCTCTTTTTTGTTGCAGCTGTTTAATATCCTGTGTTATCCAAGAACATTTTTTTGGATTAATTTTATTTAGTGGTGCAATTTTATTTAAAGCATCTTGAATATTATTTACAAAATCTACATAGATACTATTTACATCCACAGCGGAGTAGTTCCACACTTTTCCTATCAGTTCAGTAATAATACTATGCATACTTTCATCATTTAGTTTTCTACTGTAAAAGGATTGTACCTCCTCTTGCACTCTATCCAACTCAATATTCACTCCAATGATTTCGTGATCACTTATGCTGGGAAAATTTGGGTGTCTTTTTCCAGGCCAACATGAAGTTCAATAAGCATTTTCATCATGCTGTCAATAAAGCAGTAAAAGCACTTGGCTTTGTAATCAGGAATAGTAAGAACTTTAAAATAAGTACAATTATTAACTTGTATAATGCTCTGGTGAGACCACACCTTGAATATGCATCACACATTTGGATGCCATTGGAAGCCACGCATATTAATGAAATTGAAAAAGTGCAGAAGAGATTTTTGCGGTATCTCTATGTGGTTAAAAATAATATTTACCCATATATGGTTCCTTACAGGGATATGCTTGTTAGTTTTGAGATAAAGTCATTAGTGGAAAGAAGGAATAATCAGGCTGTGATATTTTTGTTTTATATTTTAAACAACCTAAAGTATAAGGATTGTAATTTAATTAACTATGTCTCCTTAATTGTACCAAAGATTAACTTAAGAATTATGAAAAACAAGAAATACTTTGGTACTGATCCTAGTAATAATATGTCACCATTTAATCGCATGATGACAGTTGCGAACCAAGCACTTAATGAGGTCCAGGTAGATCTTTTTAATGTAACTTTCAATCAATTGAAGGCCCTTTTAAATTAGTCATATATGTTTATATTGTGTACTCTATCTTTATTTCTGTGTTTTACACTTCGCTGTTTTAACTTTACATGTAATTACTATTTTTGGTGTTTGTAAAGTAATGAAATAAATAAAAAAAACAAGTCACAAAATAAAAAACCAAGAATCAGAAGACATTCGTGCCATCACGAAAAAGGAAATTTATTATGCTTTGAAGAAAATGTAAAATCGCAAAGCGCCTGTGCAAGACAATGTAGTGGCAGAAGCTATAAGACTATGAGTATCTGTATTATTAGAAACAATACAAAAGCTTTTCAACTTATGTCTACACAACCAAGAGATCCCGTCTGAATGGAATAATGCAATAACTATCCTCCATCACAAAAAGGAAGACGCAAGGCAGCTTGACAATGATTGACCCATAATCCTCCTGAATCAAATCTATGAACTGTACGCTGGCATACTATCATCAAGACTAGAGGCTAAACTCGATTTTTATCATACAACAGACCAGGTTGCTTGAAATCACTTATTGCGAAGACAGTTGAATACAATAGACCACTAGTATTGATATTTGTAAGTTTACAAAAAGCCCTTGATATGGTTGAAATTAGTGCAACCTCAAGAGTTTTGAAACAATGTAGGATGGATTATCGATATACAAACATCATTCACAGAATCAAAAAAAAATGCAACAACCACCCTAAAAATAAATTAAACTACACAAAAAATAGGTATCAAATGAGAAGGTCACCAAATTATTTAATTTACAACCGTTAAAGAACATGCTTTTAAAACTCTAGAATGGGAAAACTCTAGGCATGACTGTAGCCGAAAGAAAACTGAATAATCTCCGCTTCATGGATGGCATAGTACTCACTCATCACAGGCGACCTAAAACAAGGAAAAGAAAAGCTACAAGAACTTTAAAATTCATTGCAGTTAAACAAAAATAATATTCATGCAACCAGGCTTTTGACCCAATCACTCATGCCAGGCCGCTCTTCAAGTGCTCATACCAAAATGGTTGAGAGATATAGATCATGAAAATATATACCATATTCACTGTTTTTTTGGAATAGGTGGTCATGGAAGACCAAAAATATATGTAGCTGAAGTAAATGAGGCTAACAAGAAAAGTCAAAGTAGATAATGAATCGTTAATTAATTTTTTTCAAAAAATATATAATTTTAGAATTATAATTTTTTTTCTATAACATTTGGCAACCTGTTTTTCATTTTGACAAAAAAAGCTAAACTCAAATCTGCATTTCTCAATCCTTTATATCACCGTAACTGAGACCTTCACCCTAATCTCACTAGATTCTTGTAGCCAGCCATTCTAAAAAAAAGGAATGAATTGTATCTGTCCGAGTCTCAAAATTTCCTTAGAAAAAAAGACTAACAAAAACCTTTATTTTGTTCAAAAATTAGCCTAAGGTAGTCTCAATAATCTTGGTGGAGGTCCTCCTGGCAGCTTACATAGATGTGATCGAGAATTATCAGATATGCTTTTTTGTTGTCGGTATTCTTTGCGTTTTCTAAATAACTACGTGGTTCCGAAAGTTTAGAAATTTATTTATTCCGAGTTATTGTTAAATTTCTCCTATTTTCAGAGCTGAATTCTTTCATTCCTTTCCTGTAGCATGTCGGTTATGGCGTTTTTTACTACGATAGCGGAAGCGCTAGTTATAATAGATCAATATGTAATTATTAGTTCTTCCATATTCATTTTATTCTCAGGAAGTGAACTATAGAAATAAATTTCCACAGAAGTGTCAAGAATCATAAATTTTTTGCTCCTCTGAATTGTGGTTGAATGCAAGTACTTGCACTATCTAAAATGGACCAATCAACTTGCAAGTTACATAAATGGAAAGTTTCAGCTCAATGGAAAAACAAACTTTTTTTTTACATGACATTTGTTTAAATTGCGTTGTAGGATAAGGTAGGCCGAGAAGCTGAATATGTAAAAGCATCTTCTATGTTTGATCTCATTAGAAAATAAAGGTTTGTTTCACAAAACGGAGGCATGCATGTACGACCGGAATCTTCACCACGGTCATCGAGGCCTTTGGTGTAACCTCATTTTGATTTGATTTGATTATTTACGATTAAAAAAATATGTTTTTTTCTACAGTTAGATAATGATGACAGAGCTAAACTGACGGATTTTGGCTTTTGCATACCTGAAGCTATGATGTCAGGCAGCATCGTGGGCACTCCAGTTCATATGGCACCAGAATTACTAAGTGGCCGATACGATTCCAGTGTAGACGTGTACGCCTTTGGTATATTGTTTTGGTATATTTGCGCGGGGCAAGTGAAACTACCTACACATTTTGATCAATTTCAAAATAAGGAGCAACTGTGGAATAGTGTCAGAAAAGGTAAGAATTGATAGGCCTATTACTAATAGGTAGTTTAATTTTTCATTTATAGGAATAAGACCAGAATGTTTGTCATATTTTAATGATGCATGTTGGAATCTCATGGAACAATGTTGGGCTGCTGAACCGTCCGAAAGGCCTTTGCTGGGCAATGTACAACCTCAGCTAGAAAACATTTATAGATGTGCCAAATATGAGGCGAATGCAGCAAACCAAGGCAAGTTTTCTTATAATCAAAAATCTCTAGGATTTTATGATTATCATGAGAACGAACATTTCAATAATTGTAGTTATATGAATCTCAGAGAATATTAGTAGTAATTAAACATACTTTTGACTGTGTTTGTTATTTTAGATTCCTAATTCAGAGGAGGATTTGAAATTCTGTACATAGCTGTAAATTATGTTAAGTTCTGAATGTTGTTTCTTTCTATTTTTTATAAACCGATGTTATAACAAATAATGTATTTATTTTTAATATTTAAAATAAAACTCATTGTTATATTTTTATTATATATTTCTTTTATTCTATAAACAAATAAATGGTAATACTGAACTCCATCAATAACTTTTGGCCTGTCTGCAGTACTCACTTTAATTACAGAGCAATGTTTTTATGTAGGCAGCTCACAACTTCCACAGATAATGTAATTTTAAACGTAAGTGGATATTTAACAGTTAGAAGATACAAAACATTTTTATGGCACATTTAAACATACATTTACTGTCATGCATGGTGTGTTCCAAAACCAAGATACACCAGCGAAACATGTACTTAACAAGCAAACTTTTTACATCAGTCTTCCAAACACCTTAAGTAAAATTAAGTAGTGCTTTTAGAAAAGTTTGGAACGCTTTCAAAATCACATTCAAAAATTCAAAATATAAATACGACAAACATATAATTATTATGACTAATTGCATTATTGCCCTGTTACCGGGTTTTTACTAGCATTCCATACTCTCTAAAAGACAGATAATATTAACCATTGTATCCATTTCTATATATGAATTGAATACCCATTAATAAATAATTGAAAAATTAATATGATTACTTATACCAAGGGGTAAACCTTAGAGAAAATTGAGTGTACAGCTCCAATATCAAACAGGCAGTTGACTTAATTCAGCATATGATGGAAACTAATGTTGGCATTCATAAAAAAATAATTCAAGGCTCAACTTAAAAGATGACCAACTTTTATCTTTTCCAATTATGGTAATTTTGAATTTTAATGTCTAACTTTCAACACCGAAATTTAAACCAATAATTATTAGGCATAACTTTGGTTTGTTTATTGTCTCAAGACAAAAATTGAGATGATTAGGTTAGATGCTAAATTACGTTGAGGTCTGTTAGAACCCTCTTTAAGATGGGTTTAGCCAGCTTTGATTTTTCTCAGACTCAATAGAATGCGTCAGTTCCCGCTGACAAAAAAAAAAATTACCTACATTATTTACCGCTACCCTATCGATTATTAAGATTCACAAATGGCAAATATTAATTACAATAATCAAGTGTATTTTAAAAAAAAATACAAAAATGTCTATTCAAGCCAAAACAAATTGGTATCGGCTATTTTGCTCAGTGATCGACTGATCGAAATTCAATTAGTATAGTCTTGGTTATCCAAGAAAAATGTGCACTGAGAGATGAATATAGAAAAAAAACGACGATAATGTTATATTACAGTAACTTGGAACAGGAGTAAGAGAGGGAAAAAGAAACTGCGAGTAATCACAATTGGGAAGGCATTTCCCAGGTACTTTATGTATTTATAAAATGTATTATGTTGAAGAGGAATATTAGGAAAGACTATTCCGCACTCTTAACAAAGAATGCAAAGAGGAGAGATTAAGAAAGGGATGCTCTCACCAGTCTCACCCAATGAAAAATTGATCATAATCAAATGAATTACTTGTATTCATTTTGTGTCTTTGTTTAAATATAGGTAGAGTTTCGTGGGTTAGAGGTCTAGGGGACTGAAAGAAACTATCTAGTTGTTGGCAGCGTTTCGGACATTTATTTATCCTTTATCAAACCTCAGACTGTTGTCTCCGGAGTCCAAACAGTTGGAAAAAGAGCACCTTCCATCATGTTTTTTGATGGCTTTCATAAATTTTATTTTTTTATCAATTTAAACCCACGAAACTCTACCTAAAAATGAATTACATTCCGTTCAATTCAATATACCAAAGAATGTCTTTATTAGAGGTATTACTTCAAATTACGAAATTTTTGCATTTCAAATATGCCTATTGGAAAACCAGGCTAACATAGAATTTTTTGTATCACACTTGTATTGCCTTTCTTTTGTTGTGTTTTCATTGAATAAGCCACTTTCACGTGCCCGGAATATGGCAAATTATGATATTTTTGACTCAGATACATGGATGCAACTGAGAAGATGCTATTAGAATTACTAACGAAATAATTTTAAAACGTTTTTGAAAAATGTGAAAGTGGGATTATATTGTGTTGGATTTAGGTTTACCCCAAGACCACTTTACCTAATAGGACTGCTTATTGAGCTGAAAGTATCTGCCATGTCCACGCGACAAGTCCCTACTATTTGTGATGTCAGCCGCAGATCTCAACTCTTTGACATAAAATGCATTATCCAAGTTTAGAACACTTTAGGTCAAAAAAACGAATTCCTAAACGTTAAAAATCACCTTTTCTGCATTTAAAATCGAGGAAAAATTTAACTGACAGCCTGAATCGCAAGCATTTGATCAAGGTATGTGGGAGACGTCACCACTATCAGCTAATGATAGTGGTGATGTCTCCCACAGACCAGCTGCCATTTTGAGAACTGTCCAATGTACACCTTATTAGGATTAGCAATCCTGTTTGGTGGAGTGTTCTTGGGTTTACCAGCTAATAAAGAATACGAAATATAAGTGCTTTTCAAATTTAGAGAAAAATTTAGGATGTTCTATTCAAATAAGTGTTAGTTAGAACTTTCTGGCAGCTCTTTGACACTCATTCTGTTAATCTGATAAAAATTGGTGGTTAAGATGAAATGTAAGAACTTTTGTATTCATCCTTTTTACGAGCACCCTATACAACAATTATTATATTAATAACTGTACAAGATATTTGTCTACAGTTTACCCCTCACAAAACCTAATTGAGAAACGGTTATTATGAATAACGAAAACTTATAGCTAATAATAATAATAATAATAATCAGTGACAAAAACTGAATATGTATTCAAATGCATATTAATAAATAATAAAATAATAATTCAATAACAAAATATTCTAGTCTGCATAAGCAAATCTGTCTAGATACTTTACATTCGATTTACATTGACAGTTTCCGTAATGTATGCTCTTTTTTGAGCTGTAGCTCCAACAGACAAAATGCAGAACTAAATTTGTTAATATCTCACATTGATACATGTAATGAGATTCAACTCAAGTCTTATCATTCTATGATGCTTACAGTCAGCCAACAAAGTAATATCCCGCATAAATAATTTACTGGCCTCTAAAACAGAAACCTTTAAATAAGATGTTTTCTTTTAAAATTATCTACAGCTGATAGACCAACCATACAGCTTACATATGTCAATGAAAAAATTACATAATTATTTCAATAATTTTTAGATAGATGAATTTCTAATTAGAGATACACAGATAACTTCATTGGCTGACTGAAATGAGAAAACCTTAGCCATTATCATAAATTTAATACATAACAAGGTTACAAAGCAATACTGTTCAAAATGCACCAGAAAAATCAATTCTATAATATTCTTTGGAATAAAAAACTCGAACCCTATTCACATTTAAAAGTAGAGATAAAAAAATATATACTATTATGCAGAATACAATCGGCCAGTCATTAAAATACCTTATAATAAAACAAATTTGAAAACTAGCACTGACAAATTTCTTCATTTTTGAGATAAACATTTGATTACACTGAGGAAAAATTATCTGAGATACAGTGTGAATTCTGAAATGTGGAAGATTCTTGCTAAATGATTTTCACTCAGATTTTTGTCTAGAATAATATGTTCTACAATCCAAAATTATTGATTCTCCATACGTTTTTCCTCATTGTAAAAATTAACCATTATTGTTGAGATTTCTCCTAGAAAATCTACATAATATCACTTTTAGTGATTTGCACATAGAAAAATATATTTAGAAAAGTTTTTTTTTTTCATACTTATATTTAAGTATGCATAGAATTACCCACTTTCTGTTGAAATAATTGAAAAGCAATAAATCTGATTTACGTAACACAGAAAAAAAATCACATAATTAAAACATTATTATATGCTATTAAATAGCATATAAACATAACATTTAAATAATCGAATGAATAAGGTAGCAGTTTAGGTGTCTTTTTGAACATCACTTGAAAAATACTCAATATGTACTTTTTGTTGGTGGATTCTTTGATATGTACGAAGTATTTTTTTTCTGAACATATCGGATCTCTTACACAAAGGTACCTTTGAGCGGTGATACAAAGCTTTTTTCAATCTTTTTTCTCTAGGTTTTTTGGCACATTTTATTTTGTTTTCTGGTTTAGTGTCATCTTTGACAGAAACCGAGGCAGGAACCGAGGCAGGAACCGAGACAGGAACCGAGTCAGGAACCGAGTCAGGAACCGAGTCAGGAACCGAGGCAGGAACAGAGACAGGAACCGAGGCAGGAACAGATACAGGAACCTTGCGGGAGCCCAACTTTTTTACATAGTTTTTATCTTTCCTGTAGTATTTAAGCATATCCTCGTGGTTTATCGTGTCCTCTATGTCATAAGACTCAAAAAATACCATAATCTAAAAAAGAAAAAAATTATTGCTTCAAATTAACAATACAACAGGTAACAGTATTTCATTGTTGAAATGTAAAATTTAACAGATGAATGAAATATTCGAACAAAAATAAGTTCTATATTTTTGTTGAGAATATTGATGAAAGTGTTGGAGCTTTCTTCCAAGTTTTGCCTTTTATAGAAATTAACATTCTGCTTAGACTAAAGCGATGTTGCATGTATTTGGAATTATTGTGCTTTCAAGATGTGTCTGTCACTGTCTTGCAATGTGAATGAAAGGTTGGTTCTCCTCTCGTTTATATATCTATGTAAAACAAACACACAAACAGAAAAGAATCGGATGGATACTAATACTAACTGATAATCACGACAATGAAAATTCTAAATTATCAACACAGGACATCACTTTGAGTATATTTCACATTTTTTGGGACATTTACTATATTTAGGAGTAAGCATATTTGGTCCCAGTTAGATTATAACCACTAACTCAGGTACACAAAATATGTTTGTAACAAAAAAAAAGAGTTTTGGAATTCTATTACCTTTGTCACTATTCTTGCGCTCTGATCCATGTGTATATGGTATTTCTGATATTGATTGGTTTCCAAGCCAATGACAATTTTCTTATGACTAGGAGCTTGTATAGAGATTAAAGTGTGGTAACGTTACCGCGGTAACGGTAATTTTGGTAATTTAACCCAACAAATTTCTTTACCGGTAATTTTCAGAAATGCTTCCTGAATGAAATCACATTCAGGCGACAATCCTTTTCAAGCATTATTCGCCATCTTGTTGTGAATTTGTAACGCGCTTTCAGGTTTGGCATAAACGAATAGTTATTTACCTAACAAGTGCGGAAAGTGGTGCTTTTCCCTACGCGGCGGCAGTTGGCAAGCTGTCAAGGGTGGAAAAGACATTTTCCGCAGAAGTTAGGTGTAATGTTTTTCCACAAGTATTTTTGTTCATCTAATTTATCAAAAATTGATCAAAAAATCTGTGTAAGATCTAAATTTTCTCAATGGAAAATAGTATCTATAGATAGTAATTTGATTTGAAGTAAAAAATAAGTAGTACCTATATTTTGAATTAAAACATTGTGCTCGTAGGAAAAACCTATTTCAAAAACCCGGTGGGTTTTTGTTGAGTTCTGAGTTAGAGATTTTTACTTGGAATGTCAAAGATCTTTGAACACAAAAACCCTACAGAAGCACAACTCTTGCAAAAACCCAAAAAAACCAATAGAAATTTTCAAAAACCTCTAAAAAAATCTCTTATGCTATCCTTATTCAGCTCATTTTATTTATTTGTTTTCTTTTTGCCCTTCAAAAGTAGGTATTTACTTTACTAGGTATTTAGTTTAGCACCAGATTAGGAGAATTTATTTCTATTTTATTTTGGTCTGATTTTCTTTGCTCGTTTTTCGTTTATTTGTTTAAATATTGTAATATTTCTATGTATGAGGTTATGTTTTACAACAAACAATATTATAATAAATGGGTGTTTAGGTAAAAAAATCCTGAAAATCTATAATCCTTGAACGTATAGGTATAGTATATAGTCATAATTGTTTCTTTCACGAATCATGAAATATTTCCAAAATTACCAAAATAACCGCAAAATTACCGGCAAATTACCACCGAGAAAGAACAAATGAAAATTACCGGTAAACTTCAATCTCTAAGCTTGTATACTTCAACCTTTCTCGGTATACAATGGGTTCCCAGAAAAAAAGTGTAAATCTATTCATGGCCAAGTGCTATTTTCCTAGACTTTTGTGATTTTCCATGATTTACTTGGAATAGACTTAAACCCTTACTTGGGAACAGATTAATTCCCTTTTTTCTTAATATTATATCAAGTAGGTATTACATTATAATATAAATGGACACAGAACAATCATAAACGAATTGGGACCAACCTATATTTTTGTGTTCTAGAATTCAGAATGATAAATCACAAAAATACATTTCTTTCAAATTAAAGAAAGACATCAATCACGCTAAATTTTAATAAAAATCAGCTAAAATTCAAGGCTGCTTCTCATAATTTCCAGAACTGCTTAACAATAAAAAGCTAATGAATCAGCAAATATTTTGTTGACTGATATTAGACTACACAGAACCAGATTATCAATTGGCTATTATCTCACCTTTTATATCGGTGAGTTTAGGTTTCACCTAATGCATAATTAGATTTTATATTTTTATCACATACAACAAAACATGATTAGTGTGATATTGATAGTACTTTTGTGTTATTCTTTTTTATTTATTTATTTATCCAAATTTAGTCCAGTTTTACATATATATTTTTTTTTATTTTAAAGGTTTGAATGTATAGAACAGAAATATAATAGTAGTGACCTAGGTAGTGACAATGGTAATGATGGTTTTTCAAAATAAATTGTCCAAGTCTGTCAACTTGTGTCATTTTATGTACAGAATGAAATACTATATTCTTCAGAAAACTTATTTTCAAAATATTTTTTCTTTTCAAAACTTCGAAATAAACAAATTTGATTTCTGACCCTATCCAACAAATCAACCACCAATATTCGATTTTATATTTTAAAAGCTTCAAGAAGAAATTGCAACATCAATAAATGCAACAAGTAGAAAGGGGGAGATAAGTTTGTCAGTTAATTTGTTTTGGAGGATGGTACTTAAGGAGAGAAACATTCTATCTAACATCCAACTTTGAACTTTATGAGCCAAGAACAGTGATCTTTGTAGAAAGTGGTTGCAAATGGTCGATAATTTTTAAAAACTTTAAATTCAAAACCCTATATACCTATATAGTGATGTGAGTCGAGAATATTCCCATGCGAATATTCGCGAACATTGGGAAATTTCCGAGAATATTTGCCGATAAAAAATGGAAACGTACTCCTGAATGAGAATATTCCCGGAAACTTTCAATCTAAAACTCTCAAAAGAATATTTCCGAGAACTTTCGAGAATATTTCCAAGAACTTTCCGGAAGAATTTTATAAAAATGCGGGATTATTGCGAATACAAGGTCTCAGTGGCGTCATTTCAATTTATGTGGACGACGTAGCCCAGTCCAACGTCCAACTGTCTTTACGGAAACGCTGATCCGATTTACCCGATCACCAGCTGATGTACCTACAGTTTGTCTTTTTTTTAAATAATCTTAATTGAAGAAAGATAAAAAATAAAGAGTGAGACGTCTCTTAAGCTGGAAAAGCAAAGTCAGCAGAATCGAAAATCAATACATGGAACATTAAAGGCTCATTAAAGGCTAATTAATTGAATGCCCCGATGAGAAATTTAAGGCTCCTTAATTTTTCGCGAAAATGACTGTTCTGCTAGCTTTAACTTAAGCTAGCAGAACATGAGCGAAAAAGTGGCTAAAATAACGAAAATTGCAATTCCACTTCCACAGACAATAAAGGCTCATTGAAGGCTCTGAAAATACACCAATCGTGAATTTCAGGCTCAATTAATTTTTTTGTGAAAATGCAAAAAGCGCAATGCGTGAGTGATGTTGGCCAAGCATGGCAGAAAAATCTCTCAGACGGTGAAAATCAGTGTTCCGATAGTGCAGTCGTAGTGAATACATTAAAGGCTAATTAAATGCTGTAATGAGAAATTTTAGGCTTCGCCAATTTTCGCGAGAATTGCTATTCTGCTAGCTTTAACCTAAGCCAGCAGAACATGGGCGAAAAAGTGGCTAAAACAAAGAAAATTTCACTTCCTCATGCATCGACATTAAAGGCTCTAGAAATACACCAACCTTGAATTTCAGGCTCAATTACTTTTTTGTGAAAATGCGAAAAGTAGCGATATGTAAGTAATGTCGGCAGAGCATGGCGGAAAAACCTGTTAGACAGTGAAAATCAGTGTTCCGATAGTGCAGTTGTTGTGAATAGTGAGTTCACTCTCTGACTGCAAGTGTGTATGTCGTGTTTTAAATCGCTCCCGGATTAAAGTGGTTTTATGGTAGTTAAAAGTAACGAAATTTTTTGAAATTTTCACACAGTGATAGTGCTGACAACGACTTAACGGGAGTGCTGATTTTTGAGCTGGAGCACCCAATGCATTACCTGGGACAACTGGAAAACATCCGAACAATGACTGAAACAACAAAAAAAGAAATAAAATACCATCAAAGAAGGTGGCCTTCACAAAGGTAAAATAGTTTTTTTCCTTGTGAGGATTATTTCTGGCACTGCCTCCTATAGTTAACAAGCCATGAAGTTGGAAATGACGGCAACGTCGCGTATGGTGCTATTTTGTTATTGGGTTATGTGTTTCTGTGTATTGCTTTCATTGTGTATTGTTGCCATTTAGTATTTTTATGGGCATTATTGACGAAAAAGTGGATAGAAACACACCAATATATTGCCCATATTTAGTTGATACCTGTTCCTTTGTGCTTTGATTGGTAATTTTTAGCAAATGAGTACAGGAGCAAAAATGAAGGTAAGGTAAGGTAAAACAATAAAAACAATATTAATATTTGTCTGCAAGAGCATAGGTCTCGATATATTACCTAAGATATTTAAACTTGTTCCAGATGCCATGAAACTACTGTGTTCCTGGGTGCAAATCGAACCATTAGGAGTTCCTTAAAAACTGAAGAAATGCAAACATTTTTATTTCCAAAAAAATTCTGAAGTTCAAAAAATGTGGATGAAAGGAATACACCAAGATAATTATACCCGAGATTATACAATAACGAAAAATTCTGTGGTGTGTTGTAAGCATTTTGAAGAAACCGAAATAATTAGATTTGAAACAAACAAGGATAAAGGCGTAGTTCGAGAGTTCAAACTAAAACGTCCAACTCTTAAAAGTAGGTACCAGGTACCTCTTATTTTCGAAAATCAGCTCAAGTATTTGAATGGACTTGCCTTCCGAAAAAATCCCGAAGAAAGAAAAAGTTAGATTTTCAAAAGACATACTGAAACATAACACTTTAGACTCTAGAAATATATTCATTTAAATCAATTATTTACTGTTCTTATTTACACAAATA